TTCGGGGTACTACTTTGACTACCAGGACAGACGAGCTCTCCGTCCACTCAAGGATTACGCCGTTAACCTGACCGGATTAACACCAGTGGATGCGTATTGCGATAAGTACGTGATGTGTGGAATACCTTGCTTTTGGAGTAGCTGGTGTAGGGGGATCTCCAGTGCTGCCTGGCTGCCTCGCGAAAAGCAGGTGGTTGTGCCCGGACACCTGGAACTGAACCTTCTTAATAAAACCCTCTCGAAATCGAGAAATTCTGCGAGGTTCGAGTTTGAGCTGGCTGGTCCACCTCACATGGGTCTGTATATACGACCGCTGGATGGAGTGGCTGTGGAGGATTGGTCCTTTATACGGACAATGCTGGACAAGCCAGAAAAATACTCCCCACCCTATCAGATATACTTCTCTTACGGCGTGGATAGCTCCCCATTCAAATTCCACATCGACTTTGCCGTGAGTTGCAGTGTGCAGTGCAATATGAAAAGTATTACAGATTATCTACGTTTCAGAAATCCGATGGACAATTGGATGGACCGTTTTTTGAGCTGGGCGTTGTCGGGCATTACGTAAGCCAGGATTTCGAGAGGGATGAAACTACTCTTCGGTTCATAGCTGATTTGCCGGACTTTGTTCACACTATGGAATGGCCGTCGCTGTTTATGCGATATATCTTCTAGGATCACTTCCTGGAGCCCATTCCGTTTTGCATCCATTATATGTTTTTTGGGAATTCCAAGTGCTTTGATAGTGCACTCGATAAGCCAGCGCCTGATAGAAAAATATATATTAATCTCTGAAACCCCATCAAGCGTTACCTTAATCTGCCAGACATCGCTGAATGAATAAGCTTTAATTTGCAGCTGCCCCTCACACGCGTCGGAATCGCCACTTATGTATATTTATATCAAGTCGTAAACCCGTCCAATTTAGATACCATGGCCGTGGCCATGGTTCAGTTCACCTCAGTCCCAGCCGCCCGGTGCGCCTTAAGACAAAACAGTTCCCCCCGGTTCAGGTACCGGGTATCAGGGTACCGGGGTATCAAGCGGCACACGGCTTTATCTTTATGGTCTCTAGTGCGGCGGAAGGCTTCGAGTCGATATGCTCGGGGTGCAGACGTTCAGTTATGCGTTGATCGGACATTGGAAGGGTTTGACTTGGCTCCCGCTATCCCGCAATCTTACCATGGAGGAAAAGACTGATAAAGTGAGTTTTGATTTAGATGAGTGTGGTAGAAGGGATTTACAGCGTACTTATCAGGAGAATCCCATCGACACCGAGCTTGTCGAGACCCTTTCGCTGCGCAAAAGATACGTTCGCAGGCAGCGATTGTCCTGGTACTATGCCCCGTCCTTTCTGCTGCTCTGGCTGGCGCTCTTCTACGCCATCGTGATCCCGCTCTACTACAGACTTCCGGACAGGCTGACCATATCCGAGGAGTCACACAGGCCGGGAGAATTTGTCGCAGAGCAAGCACAGCGATATCTGCACACATACGACCGCATTGGACCCAAAGTAACTGGCAGCTATGCGAACGAGGTGACCACGGTTGAGTTTCTCGTAAAAGAAATAGAAAAGATCCGTGCAGAAATGCGTGGTGATCTCTACGACCTTGAATTGGACGTCCAGTCACCAACGGGGGGATACGTTTTCAACGACATGGTTAACATGTACCAGGGTATTCACAATGTGATCGTCAAACTGAGTTCGAAGAGCTCCCAGAGTGAATCCTATCTGTTGCTCAACAGCCATTTCGACTCGAAGCCAGGAAGCCCAGGTGAGTTCTCTCCTCTTTTCAATTTAAATACCAGGTTCTGATCGAGGTCCTTAGGTTCCGGTGATGATGGCACAATGGTTGTGGTCATGATGGAGGTCCTTCGCCAAATGGCGATATCACCGATCCCATTCGAGCATCCTATTGTCTTCCTATTCAACGGAGCTGAGGAAAATCCTCTTCAGGGTTCGCATGGCTTTATTACGCAACACAAGTGGGCCGAAAAGTGCAAGTGAGTCGAAAAAGCGGAATTTTTGATCTTTTTTGCTACAATAATGTACTTTAGGGCCTTTATCAACCTCGAGGTGGGCGGCAGCGGAGGTCGTGACTTGTTATTCCAGAGCGGTCCGAATAATCCTTGGCTAATGAAGGTGAGTATTATTATTTCTTAGGCAAAAGAAGCTTATGGCAAACACACCCTATACGCTTTATGGCCGAATTTATGGTCATTTATTTTACGGCTGATATATGTATACTAAACAGTATTCTTTATAGTACTACAGACAGCACGCAAGGCACCCGTTCGCGACCACAATGGCGGAGGAGATCTTTCAGAGTGGAGTTCTGCCCTCTGACTCAGACTTTCGAATTTTCCGAGATTACGGTAACATAGCTGGTGAGTAGATGAGTCACGCATGGGGATTCTATATGGGGATTGATAACCATTTGGCATTTCAAAGGTCTGGACATTGCGCAGATTGAGAACGGATATGTTTACCACACAGCCTTTGACACCTTTGAGAACGTACCAGGTCGATCCATCCAGAACTCCGGAAACAATGTCCTTGCGCTGGTGCGCGCCTACAGCAATGCCAGTGAGTTGTATAGCACAGAGGTAAGTCTATCCCTATACTGGTATAAACACAAGAATTTCACCTTCATATACGGATTTTGTAGAGTGATGACAGTCACGCAGTGTTCTTTGACTTCCTCGGACTATTCTTCGTGTACTACACGGAGACCACTGGCATTGTTCTGAACTGTGTGGTGGGAGTGCTAAGTCTGGTCTTGGTTGGGTGCTCCCTCTGGAGAATGTCCCGCCAGTCGGAGAAAATGTCGCTTGTCCAGATTTCGATCCGGTTCCTTATTATCTTGGGACTGCACTTGGTGGGCTTTCTGTTGTGCATTTGCCTTCCTCTTCTGATGGCGGTTCTATTCGATGCTGGAGATCGATCTCTGACCTACTTCACTAACAAATGGTTGCTGTTTGGCCTCTACGTGTTTCCCGCAATCATCGGCCTAGTACTGCCATTGACCCTGTACTTCACCCTGCTGCCCAATGTAAGACTTTTTCTTTTGGTAATGGTCCGTCATACCTGAGAGCTAACTTTTGACTTATTTACAGGAAAGAGTAAGCCACGCTTACCAGCTGCAGCTCAGTTTGCACGCCCACCTGGTTGTCCAGGCCCTGTTGGCTCTCATTTTGACCGCCATGGGGCTCCGATCCCAGTACCTGTGCCTAATTTCGATGATCTTCTATGGAGGGGCTCTCCTGATTAACCTAGTAAGCACGCTGCACGATCGTGGTAAGTTATAGTGTTAATCGCTATAATCTAAGTGATTTTGTGACACTGATTTATATTCCAGGCTACTATTGGGCACCGATTGTGATGTTTCTGCAAGTGGTATCGTTTTCGTACTTCTGCTACTTGTTCTACATGTTCCTCGTGATCTTCATTCCGGTGTTGGGAAGGAATGGCTATAATACCAACCCAGATCTTATCGTTGGCCTACTGTGCGGTGTGTGCGTCTTCTTTGCTTTAGGATTTGCGGTTAGTTTTGGTTAAGACAATTGGGTTTTTGAATTGTTTCACCACCATTTTGTTCCATCGAACAGGCTCAACTGATTAATATGTTCCGCTGGCCAAAGCTCATACTTCTCGGATTGGGAGTAACGACCTTTATCTTTTGCATGATAGCTGTCTCAGAAATGGGCTTCCCCTACCGAGCCAAGACGAATGTGATGCGGGCCAACTGCTTGGTAAGTCACCCTTCCATAATGATTGGTCAATATCTAATGGACTACTTCTTAAAGCATACTCGTCGCATCTTCTACGAGCACGATGGCTCTGTGAGTCGCAGTGATTCCGGTTACTACTTCAACTACCAGGATAGGCGGGCATTCGCCCCACTCCAGGACTCTGCACTCAACCTGACCGGATTGGAACCGGTAGCCAATAACTGTGATGATTATGTGATGTGCGGCATTCCATGTTTCTACTACAGCTGGTGCAAGTGGCGCCAGTGGGATGGATGGTTGCCTCGCGAATCGGAGGTGATTTTACCCGGTGAACTTACCCTGGACTTCCTGGGATATACGGTATTGGAGTCTGGAACAGTCGCGCGTTACCAATTCGAGTTGGCCGGACCGGCTCACATGAATTTGTTTATCCAGCCGGTGGGATCCGCCAAGGTCCATGATTGGTCATTTGTGAGGAAAATGCTGGACGAACCGGAGGAGTTCCAGCCGCCGTACCAGATCTTCCATTCCTATGGCACTGATAACACCTCTTTAAAGTTCTCCATTGATATGGAGAAGTCTGATAGTGGTTTTGATACTCCCACTTTGGAACTCGCAGCTGTGGGACACTGGGTAAGCTACGAGTACGAAAGGGATGCAGAGGCTAAAGATTTTGTGGCCGCCTTCCCCGACTTTGTCCACGTCATGGAATGGCCATCTATATTTAAGCGATATATTTTTTAGGTACTACATAGCTATAGGTTTCCATCTACAATTGTACAATATACTCCATTTATCACCTCCCGTTGGGATCCATTAGATAAAAATTGTTAAATATTTTGCTTAAGAGAATTTTATGTTATATTGAAGGTTTTAAGAAGTGATTGCAAACAAGCTCCACATATGTACAACAAATTAACTGATGGTGTTGAAAATTTCGATTTAACATTGGTTACCTTTCTAAAGCTTCAAAACGTTTATGACCCTTTTATATTGGCGAAAAAATGTAAGCTTTCATTTTGTAGACTATATTTATTAAGATGCCATTGACCTATCATAATAAACCTGGTAATAAATCCATGACTTACCGCGTGTGCTGATAAAAACGAAAATTTTGAAAAATATTGTGTGATAAGGTAATTTTCACAATTTTATCTTAATAGCCCATATATATCTTAGGGGACTTTAATGCATTGCCTTTGCGGACCAAACGTTTAGTTTCTCATGATATTGCAATCTAAGCAGTTCGACTTTCAAAGGATATTATAATGAGAAAAAAGATTGATAAAGTGAGTATGAGTATGAGTAAGAACATGATACTTGTAAGTTACGTGGCGTTTCTTAGGAGCTTGAGGGAGATTCCGAAGGCAGGCAAAGATTGCCTTGGTACTATGCCCCTTCCTTTTTGCTCCTCTGGCTGGCCCTCTTCTTCGCCATCGTGATCCCACTGTACAACAGACTTCCAGAAAGGGTAACCATCGCAGAGGAACCCTCTAAGCGAGGAGAGTTCGTGGCGGGAAGGGCGGAACAACAGCTGCATGCCTTTGAGCGAATTGGACCCAAAGTTGTGGGCAGTCGAGCGAATGAGGTGGAAACGGTTGAGTTCCTCTTAGACGAAGTGGAAAAGATTAAAATGGAGTTGCGCAGCGATCTTTATGAACTGGAGGTTGACGTCCAGTTGGCCTCTGGTGGATTTTTGATCGCCGGTATGTGGGACATGTACCAAGGCATCCAGAACGTCATCGTCAAACTGAGTACGAAGCAGTCGCAAAGTGAGTCCTACCTGCTGATCAACAGTCATTTCGACTCAAAGCCAGGGAGTCCAGGTGGGTATTGCGCATACCAAGTTCAATAAGAAGACACTAAGTGCAGAATAACTAGGGTCTGGCGATGATGGCACCATGGTTGTGGTGATGTTGGAGGTCCTACGACAAATGGCCACATCCGAAACACCATTTGAACACGGAATTATCTTTCTGTTCAACGGCGCCGAAGAAAACGCCTTACAGGGCTCCCACGGCTTTATTACCCAACACAAGTGGGCCCCCAACTGCCGGTTAGTCGATGGAGACCTTATATTTCAAACAATTTAGCTATAAACATTTCTTATAGAGCCCTTATAAACCTTGAGTCGGGCGGCAGCGGCGGGCGGGATCTCTTATTCCAGAGTGGACCCAATACTCCTTGGCTGATGAAGGTGAAGTCGCAGTAGCAAAAAAACTTATTATATTGAAATAAACTACATCTATTGAATCTGTAGTACTACAAACAGTTCGCGAAACATCCTTTTGCAACTACACTAGCTGAGGAGACCTGGCAGGCTGGAATTATACCATCTGACACGGATTTCCGTATCTTTCGGGACTTCGGAAACGTGCCAGGTCAGCTTCTACTGCAATAAACTGAACTTTACATGACACACTAATATTAATATTAAAACTAACAGGCTTGGACATCGCGCAGGCCAATAATGGACACTGCCTTCGACACCTTTAAAGTAATTCCAGGACGCTCCATACAGAACACTGGAAACAATATTCTTGCACTTGCGAGGGCATTCGCGAATGCCAGTGAATTAAGCGAGTCAGAGGTAACAATTGGCTCATACTTAGTGCATAGAGATTACCAAATCAATTTTCAGAACACTGATGATAGCCATGCCGTCTTCTTTGACTTTCTCGGACTGTTCTTTGTGTACTACACGGAGTCCACTGGTATTATCCTGAACTCCGTGATTGGCGTCCTAAGTCTGCTATTGGTGGGTTGCTCCCTCTGGAGAATGTCCCGCCAGTCGGAGAAGATGTCGCTTGTCCAGATTTCGATCCGGTTTCTTATTACCTTGGGACTGCACTTGGTGGGCTTACTGTTGTGCATTTGCCTTCCTCTTCTGATGGCGGTTCTATTCGATGCTGGAGATCGATCTCTGACCTACTTCACTAGCAACTGGTTGGTTTTTGGCCTCTACATGTGTCCCGCAGTCATCGGCCTAATACTGCCATTGACCCTGTACTTCACCCTGCTGCCCAATGTAAGAGATCTTAGAGCTTATTGCTTTATAGCTGATATAGCTTATTCGATCAATTTTAGGATAAACTGAGCCATCCATATCTCATCCAAATGAGTTTGCACGCGAAGTTCGTGGTTTTGGCCTTGCTAATTCTTATTTTAACGGTTATTGGTACCCGTTCCCAATACTTGTCCCTCATCTCATTGATCTTTTATGGAGGTGCTGTGTTGATAAATCTGACAAGTACATTGCATGACCGCGGTAAGAGATATGGTAATCATTAGTCTAAACACTGGTTAAAGTTGTTGAATACATTTTAGGCTACTATTGGTGCATTACTGTGGTATCTCTTCAGGTGATTCCATTTTGTTACTTTTCCTATCTGTTTTACATGTTGCTCGTGGTATTTTTCCCGATCACTGGAAGAAACGGAATAAGTTCAAATCCGGATCTGATTATAGCGCTATTGTGTGGCATTTGCACGTACTTTACAATGGGATTTGTTGTAAGTGTTGCTGCTCTAAGTGATGCAAATTTTACTTTTATCATTGGAACACTAGGCTCAATTCATCAATGTGTTCCGCTGGCCAAAGCTCATTCTCCTTGGCTTGGGAGTGGTGTCCTTTATTTTTTGCATGATTGCTGTTTCGGAAGTGGGATTCCCCTATCGGGCTAAGACCAATGTCATGCGAGTCAATTTCATGGTAAACTGTTTTCTATAAGCCTCATCAAGATTTCAAATAATTTATCTAGCTATCCTTTTGAAGCAAACTAAACGCATATTCTACGACTACGACGGCGCGGTCACCCACAGTGATTCTGGATATTACTTCATATACCAGGATAGACGCGGTCTAACTCCGCTAAAAGACTCCAATGTCAACCTGACTGGGCTAACTTCAATGGAGCCTGATTGCGATAAGTACGTGATGTGTGGGGCTCCGTGCTTTAACTTTTGTGGCGGACGAAGAAGGGCTGGGTGGCTGCCTCAAGCTGTGGACATACCCGGGGATATAACCTTGCAGCTATTGGACAAATCGGTACTGCCGGACGGCAAAACTACGCGATTTGAGTTTGAGCTCACTGGACCGCCCCAAATGAACATCTTCATCCAGCCAGTGGGTGTTGCTAAGGTCACGGATTGGTCCTTCGACCGAAAGTTATTAGAGGACACATACCAACCACCTTACGTCGTATATATTTCATTCGGGTTGGACGACAGTCCCCTGAAGTTCTTTATAGAAATGACGGTACGCGAACTGTTTCCATAGTTAACACTTTGTAAACATTTTATTTTCACAGAAGTCCAATGGTGATTTTAGTGGCCCTATCATCGAACTAGGAGTTGTTGGACATTTTATCAGCTACGAATTTGAAAGGGATGCACGGGCTCGCGAATTTTTGGCCGAGCTACCTAACTTTGTTCACGCAATGGAATGGCCCTCGCTTTTTAAGGGATATATATTTTAGGAACTTTCAATCAAATTTTAATTAAATGTACATTTTCACCAGATTGCTATTTAGTTTTTTTTTTTTAAATTTAAGTATGTGTCTTCTAATAAGCGCTGTATTCCTCAAGAGACCACATGTCTTAGCCATTAAGTATCTTGACCTTTTACCTTTTCCTTCGTCCATAACCTTTTCAAAAATACGTGCTTCTCTATCGTAGGTCCTCATACTGATTGTATATCTAATCTTGATATACGCTTTTATCGTTTGTGATTTAGGGCTTATAAAATTGATGCAAAATTTATGGTGTCATTTTACTACCTTTGTATAGCAATAATTATATTTATTGGTAATGTTGGAAAATGCTTGAAGGGCATTTACGCAAATATAATCGTGTCTTTCATGTTAACATATGCTGAGGCTCTACCATTAAACGATAAAAACCTTCCCTAATTCGTTAATTGGAAAGCTTTACTAGCTTGTTTACTTATGATAAGCTCTATGTGGTAAAATTTTGGTTTGATGTAAAACCAAATATTTTGGTATCCATATTATTCCGGACCTATATTCATGATGCACATCTCTAGGGAGCACTTTTCAGATGCCGCAGTATAAAACTAAATCACCTTATAAAGATTGCAGAAGACTTTGACTCCAGGAAGATTATAAAATTTATTAAACAGTGTACCATAAATATATAGGGTCTTGTGGGCTGCAAGTTGGATATCAATCCCAAAGCAGCCTTAAAAAGGCTTAAATTTGATAAGCACGGGAAAGTTTATTCAGTCGCGCGCCGTTCTTCGTTGTGATTTGATGCTGATAAACGCAGTACACCGGCGATATGGAGAAGCACAATGGAGGTTTTGAAGAGGATAGGCTTTCGGAGCACTCTAAACAATCGTATAGTCAGAACAAAAAAAATACCCTGCAATTGGCTACTGAAGTGATAGATCCTGAAGAGGGCTGCAGCAATGACACTCTGCTGGAATTGAAGCAGAAAGCAGAAAGATTCTCAAAGCAACTGGAGTGGTACTACTCACCTGCTTACTTGCTCTTCTGGGTCGGACTATTCTTCGCAGTGAGCTATCCACTGTTTAACTACCTGCCCACTGGAGTCAAGATAGAGGAGGAGGCCAACCTACCGGGCACCTTTGTGGCCCAGCGTGCGGAGAGCATACTGATCCAGCTGGATCTTATGGGCCCCAAGATAGCGGGCGATTACGTGACGGAGGTGGAAATGGTTCAGTTTTTGCTGGGCGAGATATCAAAGGTGCGGGAGGAGATGAGGAACGATCTCTATGAGATGGAGGTGGATGTACAGCGCTCCAGTGGATCTTTCCTTCACTGGCAAATGGTTAACATGTACCAGGGCATTCAAAATGTGGTGGTGAAACTGAGTTCCAAGAGTTCCAACAGCACCTCCTACCTATTGGTCAACAGTCATTACGATTCGAAGCCCAGCAGTGTGGGTACGTAATTCAAGTTGTCTTTCAAGCCAAGAATTTAATGTTATGTTCTGTGAAGGAACTGGGGACGCTGAGGTCATGATTGTGACCATGCTGGAGACACTCCGCTTGATGGCCACGTCCGAGGAGCCTTTTCTGCACCCAATAGTGTTTCTGTTCAATGGCGCTGAGGAGCAGCCCTTCCATGGTTCCCATTCGTTTATATCCAACCATCGATGGTCAGCGAACTGCAAGTGAGTAGTATTACACCTTCCATGGCAACTGATAATGTGGCAATTTCAAATCAGGGCCTTAATCAACCTGGATTCGGCAGGAGCTGGAGGTCGTGAAATTCTTTTCCAGGGGGGTCCCAACCATCCCTGGCTAATGAAGGCAAGTCTAAATCGCGCATTCCACTTCAATTTTATCTTAACGACCGAGCCATAAAGCTATGAAAGTGCATTTACAGACGCGCCTATCTTATCGTGCTTTACGATCCGATATCCAATAAAAATCGCTTTCTTCTTCACTTTAGCAATACAAAAAGAGTGCCAAGCATCCCTTTGCCACGACACTGGCCGAGGAAATCTTTCAGGCTAATCTGATACCCTCCGACACAGATTTCCGTATCTTCCGAGACTTTGGACCGGTGCCAGGTGGGCTTCTATATAATTGGGTGCAGTGTACCAGTTTCTTCACCTGTGTATCTATCTGTATATCTCGATGCAGGTCTGGACTTGGCTGGTTGCTATAATGGTTTCGTATATCACACCAAGTTCGATCGCTTCAAGGTTATTTCCCGAGGGGCTCTGCAAAACACTGGCGATAATGTCTTCTCCCTGGTCCGCAGTATATCCAATGCCGAGGAAATGTACGATACAGAGGTGGGAAATGGAAATTATTTCGGGCTGCCACCTAATACATCTGATTCTTTGTCAACAGGCTCACTCCAAGGGTCACTCCGTGTTCTTCGACTATCTGGGTCTTTTCTTCGTTTACTATACCGAGTCTACGGGCACAGCCCTTAATATCTCGTTCTCATTGGGCGCCATTCTGGTTATATGCCTTTCCCTGTGGCGCATGGCTAGGGTTACGGATTGGAGTGTGGGCACCTATGCCCGGGCCTTTGGGATGCAGTTCCTGCTCGCCATTCTTGGATGCCTGCTGGCCTTCGGATTTCCATTGCTGATGTCTGTGTTCTACGATGCCGGCGATCGCACGATGACGTACTTCAGCAACAGCTGGTTGGTCATTGGCCTCTACGTCTGCCCCTCTATAATTGGACTAGTCTTGCCTTCGACCCTCTACTTGTCCCTGAGACCCAGCGTAAGTGGCCAGTACTTCCTCCACTAGGTTACAGATGAATACCTGATCTTTATTTTTAGGAGAAGATTCCGCACACATATCACCTGCAGATCGTTGGACATGCCTACTGTGTTTTCATGGCGGTGCTTTGCATTTTACTAACCGTTGTTGGCATTCGCACTGCATATCTCTTCATGATGTGTGTATTCTTCTACTTGGGAGCTTTGATCATCAACCTAGCTACTCGACTTCATGATAAAGGTAAGGCCGGAATGAGATAAAAGTGCGTTTAATGACACATGTTCGTGTTTGTCTCATTTAGGCTATCTTTGGTCTCTGGTGCTCTGTGTTTGCCAGATACTTCCCTATCTGTACTTCACCTACCTATTCCATGCTCTGCTGGTGCTCACCATTCCGATGACGAGCCGCAAGGGCATGGAAGCTAATCCCGATTTATTGATCGCCTTGGAGTGCGCCCTGGGCTCTATTCTGGCAATGGTGTTTCTGGTAGGGATCTGCCCTTCGTATGAGAGGACATTATGTGTTGACAAAGACATCGTTTTAGGCTCCTTTGCTGAATCTCTTCCGGCGACCAAAGACCATGGTTGGAGGATTGACACTAGTAATGTTTATTTTCTGCATGATTTCTGTTTCGGATGTGGGCTTTCCATATCGCCCCACCACAAATGTGATGCGTCTCCACTTTTTGGTGAGTCCAATGCAAGCGGAGAGCAAAGGCATTCTTATAAAAGTTGGATACATGCGTTTTTAGGAGGTACATCGCAAGTTCTACGAGTACGACGGCTCCATTAGCTTGGAGGACAGTGGTTACTACTTCGACTTGCAGGATAGGCGGTATGAGTATCCCTTGCTGGATAAAATCAATATCTCTGGAATTACGCGCGTTGATGACTATTGCAAAACTGAGATGTATTGCGGCTTGCCGTGCTTTAACCACCGTTGGTGTGCCACCGTGAAGGACGCCCGTTGGCTACCGAGGGATGAGCCCGTCGATTTGCCTGGAACTCCAATTTTGCAGTTCCTGAACAAGACTGTGTTGGGCACTGAGTCCGATCCAAGGGTTCGATACCACTTCGTCGTGTCATCAGGGCCACCAAGGATGAGTTTCTTTGTACAGCCTCGGGATGGAGTGAGGATACTGAACTGGTCGTTCCTCAAGGGAATGCTGGACAATCCATCGGTCTACAAGCCGCCATATCACATATTCTTCGGATATGGCAGCGACAACTCGCCTGTGGAATTCTATTTGGAAATGACGGTTAGTAGCAATATAATTAGTTTTAATTAATACACAAATATATTGTAATTTGTACTTATATATCGCAGAAGGACGATGGCAACTTTGACGGGCCGGTGGTGGAGCTGGGTATCTCTGGGCACTATATGAGTCATCTAAGTAAACGCGATGCGACGACCCGAAAATTCATTGAGGATCTGCCAGACTTTGCCCATCCCATGGAGTGGCCAAGTTCCTATGAAAGATATATATTCTGAGATTCAGCTTACATAGTATTAAAATTTGTTAAAACAAATCAATATGGAAAGTATTTGGTTCATTTCGGTCTACATATATTTTTTACTTCGGAAAGTTATGGGCTATAATAAAAAATTATGGAATGTTATAAAAATGCTTACGATAAAAAATAAACATGTTTCCAACTACCTAGTTTAATTGAAAAGTGAAATTTGACCAAGTCACATTTATGATATTGACATGTGTAATCACACTTCCCTTCCTTTGTGGACTCGACATTATAACCAAATATGTCCACCATAGCAGTCCTTCAATTTCAACAAGGCGATTTTTTGGGGCAACGAAGGTTCGGTATTCTTTTGGCTTCTATAAACCTTGCAAACTGATTGAAAGGGGCGGGAATAGCAGCCCCAGCTTTTGGCACTGCCGACCAGATGCTAAACAATAAATGAATAAATCCGCCCTGGTCAACAAGTGCGATTACAATATGGGGCAAAGTCAGCGGTTATGATTTTGGTTTGGTTTGCTTTGGGTAATCAAATCATTGGCCCCTCGAGGGCCTCGCAAAGGCGACCGGTGGGTTTCGAGTATATCGATGGCATAGACGAAAGTTGAGTTAGGTATGTGCGCACGCTGATACGAAAGCGTGAATAGCACGGGCCATTACGCCATAAATATCGAATATCTTTATACTATGCTGAAGATATCAACCATATCGCACCATAAACCCGAGCCACAACTTTAAATTGCGGATGGAGATGTCCGGCGAGTTAGTCGTGCGTCGGGAGTCGTGGAAGGTGCTCTTGCTTGGACGGTTCTCGAATCTCTTGAACGTAAAAAATGGGAGCCACTAAAAATGCCAAGGTGTGTAATTACAGACTAATTTGCCTGTTAAGATAGCCTAAAAAGATAATTTATAATATTCCCTTTCGACAGCATTCCCTTTCGGGGTCTGGGAACCTGATAATCGAGTTCGACGAGGACAAGATCCATTGCAAGCAGTATTCCTGGCACTTTGCCCCCGCCTACCTGCTGTTCTGGGTGGGGCTCTTCTTCGCCGTCATCTATCCACTTTTCCAAGCCTTGCCCTCCGGAATTAGGATCTCCGAGGAGGCAGATAAGCCGGGACAATTCGTGGCCGAAAGAGCTCAGCAAATACTACTGAAAATTAGTCAAATGGGACCCCGTGTGGTGGGTGATGTTAATAACGAAGTCACCGTTGTGAATTTGTTGCTGGATGAAATCGAGAAAGTGCGCCAGGTATTGCGAGACGATGTATACAACATGGAGGTGGAGGTGCAACGGGCATCCGGGTCCTACTTGATTAAGGGCCTAACGAATCACTATCAGGGTGTGCAGAATGTAATCGTTAGACTGAGTACCAAGAGTTCCAACAGCACCTCCTACCTTTTGGTCAACAGTCACTACGACACCAAGCCGGGATCACCTGGTGAGTCGCATGGCGGACTGCATCTCGGATATGCCTTCAATAACTATTACCCACAGGTGCCGGAGATGACGCTGCCATGGTTGTCGTCATGCTAGAGGTATTGCGGCTGGTCGCCATTTCGGGGGATCCCTTCCCGCATCCGATTATATTCCTTTTCAATGGTGCCGAGGAGCAGCCAATGCAGGGTTCACATGGGTTCATCACGCAGCACAGATGGGCTGCCAACTGCAAGTGAGTTTGAATCTCGGAGTCAGGCAGAGATCACCAGAACCTCTAATCCGCTTCCCAAACAGGGCCCTGCTGAATTTGGATTCCGCTGGTGCTGGTGGGCGAGATCTGCTGTTCCAGGGCGGTCCCAATCATCCCTGGTTGATGGAGGTAAGTTCCCCTGTTTGGGCAACAAAACCCCCCGAAAGTCGGCAAAGCCTTTGGTGATTCATATGTTTGGCAATGCTCTGATCGCATTTCAGATATGGGCTATATCACCCGTCTGGCTGCTGATCAATTAATCTAATCTGCCGCCTTATCTTAGCATTACAGAAATAGCGCCCCGCACCCGTTCGCCACCACAACGGCCGAGGAGATGTTCGAGGCTGGTATCATACCATCGGATACCGATTTCCGAATCTTTCGGGACTTTGGAGTTGTGCCAGGTGGGAATCTACGGGTGGGGTTATGTCCTTTTTGACCACTTTACTGAACAGCTCTCACCTCCTAGGCTTGGACATGGCCGGCGTGTACAATGGATTCGTCTATCACACGAAATTCGATCGCTACACGGTGATAAGTCGCGACTCCCTGCAGAATTCCGGCGACAACTTACTGGCTCTGGTAAGGAGTATCTCAAGTGCTGATGAAATGTACGACACAGAGGTGCGTTTACTCTTTCGAGTGGCTTTCGTTCATTTTTCATAGTAATCATTCAACAGGCATACGCTGCGGGACATGCAGTATTTTTCGACTTCATTGGCCTATTCTTTATCCATTACCAGGAGTCGACTAGTTTGGCTCTGAATCTCTCCTTCTCCTTCGGTGCCATTTTCCTGGTCTGCCTCTCATTGTGGCGAATGTCCCGGGTAACTGGCCAGACTATTGGCACCTATGCCGGAGTCTTTGGACTCCTATTCCTTCTAGCCCTTGCGGGTGTGCTGCTCGCCGTGGCCTTTCCCCTGCTAATGGCTACCTTCTATGATTGGGGAAATAGAACCTTAACCTATTACAGCAACAGTTGGCTTGTCATTGGCTTGTACATTTGCCCATCGGTTATTGGCCTTGTGCTGCCAATGACCCTCTATTTGACGCATAAGAAGTGTGTAAGTGATATCACGTGCTAATGAACTTAGTTTATTATATTAAGCTATCATCTGCAGAATAAGATCCCCCATACTTACTACATGCATATTGTGGGGCACGCAAACTGCGTCCTTTTGGCCATCTTGTGTTTGGTCGCAACGGCTCTAAAATACCGTAGTGCCTATCTATTCCTGATCTCTCTCATTTTCTACGTTGCTGCACTAATCATTAATCTATTGACCCGTCTACACTGTCGCGGTAAGTTATCTTTACGAGTATATTCGTGGGAACTTTTAATGATTTAAGCCATTATTATAGGCTATCTGTGGTCCCTGGTGCTGATTGTTTTCCAGATAATACCCTTCATTTACCACGCCTACTTGTTCCACATGTTCATACTTATTCTCATTCCGATGACTGGTCGCTTTGGAGTCTCCAGCAATCCGGATTTACTAATTGGCGCTCTGTGTGCTTTTGGCACAATTCTGGCGTTCTCCTTTGCTGTAAGATAGTTTTCCACACTTATTTACTCGTTTACTTAATCAGTCCCACATAGGCTCCCCTGATCAACGTCTTTCGTCGACCAAGCTGCATGCTGGGCGGATTGGCACTGGTCATGTTTATTTTCAGCATGATTACCGTCTCGGATGTTGGATTCCCCTACCGCCCCAAAACGAATGTCATGCGTGCCGACTTCATGGTGAGTGGGACACTAATAAGCATCATTATTAAGATGACCTAGTTCGATTCTTTGTCGGAGCAGCAAGTACATCGCAAATTCTTTGAGTACAATGGTTCTATCAGCCGCGAGGATTCTGGCTACTACTTTCACCTGGGGGATCGAAACATAGAGGCCCCCCTCCGGGATCACATGAATCTGACCAATCTGGTTCGCCTGGGCGAGGATTGTGACTCCGAGTTGATGTGCGGGATTCCCTGCTACCGATTTTGTGGTGCCCGCAAAGATGCACTTTGGCTTGCTCGAGAAGAGCTCGTAGAACTGCCGTATCCTACGGTTTTGGAATTAATTAGCAAGACAGTTTTGTCCGGTGGATATCAGGTGCGTTATGAGTTCCGGCTGACTGGTCCCCCGAATATGGGTCTGTTCTTCAAGCCACTGGATGGTGTTAAGCTGCTTCGATGGACGTTTGCCTCCGCAATGTTAGATAATCCAGCTACTTACAGGCCTCCTTTGGTGGTCATGTTAACTTTTGGCATTGATAACACTCCCGTCGAATTCTTCGTGGAACTTTCTGTGCGTATTAAATGGGTCGTTCTGATAACCATACTAACCAACTGATTCTTAGAAGGACAATGGCAACTTCGATGAGCCCGTCTTCGAAATGGGCGTGTCTGGGCACTATGTCAGTCCACATGACAAGCGGGACGCGCTGAGCCTGGAGTTCCTGGCCACACTTCCGGACTTTGCCTTCTCGATGGAGTGGCCCAGTAGCTACGAACGGCATATACTCTAGGAAAGTTAGCTCATAAGAATACCAAGTCATTGACACTCCCAGCCCAAAATTTTTTTTTTTTTTTGGGAAATGGAAGGGGATCAAACATTGGATGCATTTCACAATGGGTTGCTCGGTAAACATTGGTGGGGGAAGAGCAAGTAATGTAGCAAACGGTAAAGGAACCATTTGTGCAAACATTAAGTGGATACTGACTATAGTCAAAATGTGGGTATAAATAGTGAGGCCTGGACCACTAAAAGACACACTCAGAGTTCAGCAGCTCTCCCGTCGACAAGCAATAGCCAGCAATCCCAAAAGTCCACCGAATCCAATCAACATGAAGTTCTTCGCTGTTCTTGTCTGTTTCTCCGCTGTCCTGGGCATCGCAATGGCAGGTACCCCAACCACAACCGCCACAACCCCAACAAGCCCCCCAACAAGCACCTCGCCGACCTACCCAACTAGCTCGTACTCGTACAGCTACCCATCCCCTTCCTCAAGCTACACCTACACGGACACTACCACAGCGAAGCCAGTCAAGCAGCAGATCCTGTCCCTGCTGTTCAACAAGAAGTCCGGATAGAGCCGCCCAGCCGATCTACGATGCTGCCACTTGACACGATCCTCATCACCTGAATAGCCAAATAAAACACCAAAACAAATACCAAGCGCCGTCTCTTGCATTCATACCATACTGCAATCGATGGGGGCATTTGGGGCTCACTTCCACTCCGGTGGTAACTGACATTTGCTCAACTGGCAACGGAACGCCTCTGCCCAGTCATTACCGCCTTTTGGCCGGACCTGTTCTATAAACATCTGCCCCGTTGCCGCAAAGGTCAAGCGGCACTTGCCACATTCAGTTAGACGGTGGGTAAGTCAGTTGGCCAGACATGATCATGGTCAGGTGGCAGTCACAATCCCCCCAATGATGATCATGATGATCGAGCCGCTGAGTCAAATGCCTAATGACTGCGCTGACAAATTGATGTAGGAATGCATCAGGCTGTCCCTGTTCCTCTCATGCAGTCGATGAAAAGTTATGAATGCCAAGCTGGTCATGTTCAACACGATCCGAGATGATCATAATGCCTCCAACGCCCCTCGGAATACAGGCACAGTGGATGATGGCTGCCGAGGATATTTTCTACTATTAAGTCAGCAAGTTTCTGCAGCAAGATGCAACTTTGCTGATGATAGCTTCCAGCATTGTGAGATGATATATTAAACTATATTTTTGTGTTCTTTAAATTACACTATTAAAGTAATTTGTAAAGTCTGAGTTCTTTTTGAACTGAAGTAATTTGTAACTTTAATATCATGTTACAAGTATAGCAGTTGATATGAAAATGATTTATTTAATTTCTATTTATTTAACATAGATATCAAGAACAACAAGTACAGTCCCCACTGTGGCATCGACATTCTGTCATGTATACAACTCATTCGACAAATTGCAGCAAATCAGATGGGTCTTGTACTTGTGGGAGGATTCTATACGGTCCGGTTTATGAACGTTCCATTGGAGATGGTATTGGTCTCCACCAAGAGCCACCTAAGAGGCTTCCGATCGGCGGATCTTCAAAATGCTAGGCGTTCACTCGTAAATCTCCAGCTGCAAAAGTGTCTGTGTGTAAAGTTCAAGCGATTTGGTATAAATATGCAAAGAGTCGCCTCTGTTGGCCACAGTAACGGATCGAGACGGACTCGGAGCAGACGACCAGTACCCAGGACTCAGGACCGAGGATCACAGGATACAGTTCCTTTCGACATGCAATACACAGTAAGGTGGAAGAGATCTTGGGCATACTCCATGCTGATTATCGCATGCGCATGTTTTCAGCTGTTCGTCATAGCAGCCATTCTGCTCAGCTTGGCCCATGCCAGGCCCCAAGTGAGAGGTCAGGCCCTGGGAGAACCTATTCCCATCATCAGACAGGAGCAGGAGGTCAACTTCGACGGCTCCTACAAGTATCTCTATGAGACGGGCAACGGAATCAACGCCGAGGAGGAGGGCTACCTTAAGAACCCAGGCACCGACAATGCCGGCCAGGTGGGTAGCAATGCCCGAAATGCCAGGTGCCTGGCATTTTCTGGCTGCCAGTTTGCCAATTGAACTCCCACTAACCTGCATTTGCCCTTTTCCCGCTCCAAAGGTCGCGCAGGGCTCCTTCTCCTACACCTCACCCGAGGGCATTCCGATTCGGATAACCTATCTGGCGGACGAGAATGGCTTCCAGCCGCAGGGCGACCACCTGCCCACGCCACCACCCATCCCGCCGGCTATCCAGAAGGCACTGGCCTACTTGGCCACCGCTCCACCGCCCCCACAAGAGCAGCCCGGCGGGTTCAACAACCGACGGGGCTAGGTGTCCACCTCCACTTCTGCAATCGAATTACCTGGTTCTACTCAATTACAAAACGTGTGCGAATGAACAATAATAAAACTGGCCATACAACAACAAATAATTCAGAGTGTGTTTTCAATGATTAGCGAATGATTTAGGCGTGGAATTTTATACTGCCTTTAATAAACGTAATCAATTGAAAGATATGCAATCAAACGATGCCGTATTGCGGTCTGATCTAATGACGTATTGATTTCCAATTTACATTCGCGTACGGTTCGATTTCTGTAAATATTCTATCGATATTGTAAATTGCCTTTTTACAGATACGTTTTTTAACACACTCGAGTCCAATTGATGGACCTTACCATTGTGAATAAAAGTATGTGCTGAAAGTTTTCCTGAACTGAACTTGAAATTGAACTCCTGAATTTAAACTTCGTCGTTAGGAGAGGGATAGTAAAACAGCCTGATTTTATAAGATAAGATTTGGACAACCTTGGATTCAACCAGCCTGTAGTAAGTTTACTAAATATTATATATGCGTTCGAATACGTCGTTTTTGTAATATTAGCCCATCTAATATCAGTTAATAATGAAAAACATTCAATTCATTTACTAATAATCTTTTAGTCTGGACTCTATCTATCAGTTAGTCTGGTATCCATCCCACCCATATATTAGATGAAGTAGGAAAATAATCTGTATCCATTTACTCAGCTCCAATGATCATTACAGGGAACGCAATATTATGTTGCCTAGTTTTAGGCATTTTGCGTAAATGAAGTCAAAGTGGCTTGCACTGCATAAACTTCCGAAGACTGGACAATGTCCGAATATTGTGGTAGTACCTCTAAGAAGTTGCAACAGCTGGCTGTCCCAGGCAGCGTGTTGCTTGACAACGCTGCAATACATCTCCATTGAGTCGCTTCTCCAGCTGAGCCATCAGATCGAAAAGCAGCCTCCCAACAAATTATAAATTAATCACCTCGTAAACCAAGACGCTTTATTGATCAAGTCACCGGTCGGAGCAGTTGCAATTAGACACAGCAATCCACTCGGAGTGGATGCTGGATGGCTAGAGATGTGGGCGTATGGGGGTGCATCCGAAAGATATAAAGCTGGGGGCCAACGGCTAGATCTTTTCATTGCTTATCTTCGACGATGTGGCTGCGCGTAACGGTGAGTTGGACTGCATACAGATGCCTTGAAATTCAATATGCATTCCTATGCAGATCGTTCTACTTATAGCCCTTGTGGCTGCCGTTCTGGCCCAAAACGATGGGCGGTATCGTCCTCCGCCTCCCACAAGAGCGAGTGGCAGCGATGGGAGCTACCGCGGCGGTAACGATGGACGCTATCGCGGTGGAGGCGATGGACGATATTCTGGTGGCAACGATGGACGCTATGTGCATATGGACAACAAGTACAAGCACGATGATCGTCCTGGTGGGGATTACACCGGCGACGCAGGGCGCTACGTGGGTGACAAGAACAGGGGTGGTGGAGGTGGTGGAGGCGGTGGAGGCGGTGGTGGCGGTGGTTCCGGGGCAGGTGGTGGTGGTGCTACTGTTGTATTGCCGAAAACCACAGCCAGGCCTCAACCAAGACCCACCACTGCACCGCCGCCAGCGATTATCGATCCAACTGCCAATCTTCCTAAGGGACGTGGCACCGGCGAAGGAGGCAATGGATGGGCCATCATCCGCCAGGAAGACGATGTGGAGGTGGATGGCTATCACTATCTGTGGGTATTGTGTAACTTTCCATATGACATCTTTTACAATCGTGCATCATAGTTGGGAAACGGAGAACGGCATCTTGGGCGAGGAAAGTGGACGCATAGAAAAGCTGACCGAGGAGGAGGGACTGCGCTCCAAGGGATTCTACGAGTACACCGGACCCGATGGCATCCTCTACCGTGTGGACTATGTGGCGGATGACAATGGCTTTGTGCCCAGTGCCGCCCACCTGCCTACGGCACCACCACCGCCGCCCTATGTGGAAAAGTTGCTGGCCTTTTTGGAAGCAAATGCCAAGACGAAGAAATAACTCTGGTTATTGCAAGTGTAACAAGTTGAAATTGAATAAAATGTTGTGTCATAGGAATTCAAAGGTATTTCAATCAAGAGGTCCAATAACTTTGACCTACTTACATTCTGTCTTTTAATTCAGTGTGTTGGTTTAATGATACCATGATGATCTAGTTATACACCTTCATAATGGATCATTATGGATCAATATAATGTGTAACATATTTGTGCTGTGAGCAAAACTTAAGTTTTAAGAAATATTTAAGTACCTTGAGAATAATAATCACACTGTATTTATTTTCATTCATTATTTATTAAATGTTCAGTATGTCAGTGCAGCCACGTTATTCCCTTTTGGCTGGCAATGTGGGCAGGATTCGTTGTTGTATGTACTCCAGGACCTCATTGATGGTGTCATGAATCTTGCCAGGCTAAAGGAGTGCAATGCATTACTTAAAAGTTACACTAATATACCTGATTTCTGGCTACTTACATCCTGCTCTGAATTGATGTTAGTTCCTGACGGTTGCTGCTCCTGAGTTGGTTGCACAACTGGCATCTGGACAGGCTCCGGTTGCACCTGGTATTCCTGCGTCTCCGGCTGACAGTTCATATGACAGCTATCGTCAGGTTCCTGGTACTCATAGGCCTGATCCGACTCCCACAGCTTGTTCTCAGTCAAGTAGCTGTACTCCCTGGTATCTGGATGGGACTCATCGCCATCTCGCACCCATTGAAACTGGATTATCTGCCAGCCGGTGCCATTGAAGTTAAAGTCGATCATAAAACGCAGATGATCTCGTGGGCCAAGGGACAGACCTTCGCCGGCCTCCTGGACCTTTGCCTCCAATTGTTGCTGGGCATTACGGAAAATGCCGCTCAAGTCGGAATCATAGGGAACACCACGATCTCCGTAGCCGCCGTCATAGGGCCTGGGATCGTGCCGGTACTTTCCACTATTATCCGGAATATACCAACCGGTGGCACCGTGCAGTTGGGGGACATATCGGCCCGGCTTGAACGTGACCCTCGGCTGATCCTGATCCAGATCGGGATCCTCGGCCATGCAAGCCGCTAGCAGCAACAGTGCAGTCAGCAAGCGTGTGTCCATATCGACTATTTGATTACGTCTGATACGACCCCAAAGCACTCGCTGGCCATTTTAGTTTTCGTCCCCACCGACGATTGTTGCTCAGATAATAAATCGCGATCTTTACGCCCAAGACGACATCGTTTGGATGGCTTTAATATGGGCGCGGTGAATCGATATCAGCTCATCCGTCTAGAATTCTTTGCATACTAACCAGCCACTTGGAAGCAACTTAGTGGGCAACTAGTTTTGCATTGGCAGTAGCAACGGATCGCCTTTAACCTTTCTGAGATGCAAGTCGCCGCGAGCCGGTTCAGAATTGGGGGCGACCTCTGCAGGAGACGCGGCATTTATAAATATATATATAATATATATAAATATTTGAATACAATAATTAGTTGTGAATTAAGATATACTCGGACCGATGAAAAACATGTTTGTAAAACCAACTCTGATGTAAAAAAAGCATAATTTCAAAAAATAATATAAATGTGGAAATAGTCTTATACAAAGCAACAAATACCTATAATTTCTTCTTTCTTGTTTCAAAATGGTAGCTTCTTGCTTAGAAACCCGCACGATATCGGTGTACGGCAGTCATTCACCTCTGGGATTCAACGATTTGTGAATCAGCTTCCCGAACCCAGAAGAGACGACACCCGAAAAAGACATTCAACCGCTCCATTCATTGAAAGATCGATTGGCCAGACGAGTTTCAATTTGTTTACATTTCAGCAAATCCAATAGGATCAAAGGTAATTAGTGTCGCTTAAATCAAATATAAGCCGCATCATAAACAATGAAATGCCCGTTTTGTTTTAATGAGTATTAATAACAACAATGGCTGTCCATCAATCAATTCATCCAATTCGATATTCATTAATCAATTGTCAGAGCCGATGATTTTGGAAATCACAACATCGCGGTAGATCCGAGTTTCTAGAATATTGAAACGATGTGAGAAATCAAAGGCAGCCACGCCCCCAAAACAAGGTTTATCGAATTGAACTGTTGAACTTGTGGAACCTTGTGCATATTTGGATTATTCGATCATGGTAAGGAAGTGACTAAAGTGAATGATGCTCCATGATTCATGGGGTTAAGAAACCTCGGGCCCTCAATTAATTGATTCCAGACAATCGATGGATCATCGACGGGGTCGATTAAGAATTCTATTAAAACTGCAACTTGTTGATAAGTCAACAGGTTAGCAATTCTCCCCTCTTCCACCCCAACTCGCATTGTAACTTGTTTCGAGTATTTTAAATTATTCATCTCAAATAAATAAGGTGAGACTGCCCCTGGCGATATGGTGCGTAATTTGGTGTTTTGCGGGTAATTAATTAATCTTGTTTGAATGCATACTCCCCTGCCAACCATTATTTTTTTTGTACAAATCTTCCTTCGAGCTGTAAATTTATGCGAGTGCGCAAATTATCACCACTTATAACAGACAATTGGCAACTATACGCGGCCATATATAAATTGATTTTAGCCACAGACTTTGTTGCCAACAGACGGCGCCTGCAGTTAAGTATTTAACGACAATTCCGCGGTCCGGCCAACTGGATTTATATGGCTATAATGGATATAGTAGGGAGTTGTGTGGAAGTGGCAGTCCGCTGGGTAAAATATCAAAATTCCATTGTGCTGATCTCATCTTGATCATCCGGGGCGCTGGTGAAATAACATCACATTTCTCTTTTTCGCACTTGTCAGGCTGGAAATATATTTGCACGCGACTTTTCCTTTTTATACAAATTTATTTTTATGATCTCCTTACAAGAGCAGCAATGAAATTGCTTTCAAATTTATTTTATTTGGCTTCTCCAAGAGCGGCTGAGATGCCCGTGCAGGATTGATCAATAATTCGAGAGCTTTGAACTCGCTTACACTCTGGTTATTTGGAGCCCTAAATCCCGAGTGTCCCAGGTGTCGTGTACCAGGTTTTGGAAATTTCGATTTTATTCAGCCAACCCGTATCTAATTACGACTCATTGTGATTGGTAATTTGTTTCATTGTTTCTGGGCCTTTGCTCCAGTTGGCGAGTCACTTGGGCAACTAAATTGCAGCAAAATTTCGTTTTGTAAATGAATCCGTTGGGCAAAACAAATGCCTGCAATTAATGGCATAAATCGCTGCTATTTAATGGCGCCGATTAAAATGTGAATGCGCCGAGTGCTACCAAAAGCGATCCATCTATTTGGGCATTCGGTGGCTAAACTGGCTTCATCTGCCACCAATATTTATAGACGTGCAATTCTGATTTATTCGCTCACAGCAGCTGACATCGCGCTGCCACAAAGTATGCTAATTAAACCAAAAAGAGAGCAAATGATAATTAAACAATTCCCTGACAGCCAAACCGGGTGAGCAATCTCAACATCTCAACATTGTCAAATAAACAAAGCAAAAAAGGGGGACACAAAATTGAAATCTGAGCGGAGAAAAATGATTCTCGAAGCATTGACAGCGAAATGTGTGCGAAAGCCCACGCGAAAATGAGACTAATTTATAGGCATTGCTACAATGCACAGCCTATAAAGATTTCAATTGTTGTGCGTCAAATGCTAAAGACGGTCAGAAGATTTAGCAGGTGAAGATTCCCGTAAATCATACGCGGAGTCGGGCGGAGAGGTCTCGAGATCCCAAACAGGAATGCTGATGAAATATCGCTGTTCTTATTCCGATCTGCTCGAAAGCATCTTAAAGGCATTGATGGTTGCGGAAACTGGGAGGTAGCTACAAATTAATATGAAATATATTTAAGATATAGTTAGGCGTGGTAAAAGAAGATTTTGAATATGCACATTCTGCTTTGGCATAAAGAATAATGGTAGTTTAAAATACCAATAAAAAATTTTAATGCAACTTGTCTGTATGACAACCAACAACTATATATTACTCACTCCTTTTGAATTCAAAGATTTAACATTAAAATAAACAAAATTGCCATTTCAGTGGTCGCTTATCAAAGTTTGTGTAGGCTCTTTATACATAAGCGTTGTGAACCGGCGTTTCTTCAATACTAATTCTTAAATTCATTTTATAATGAATAACGCATGAATAAACATTTCATTTTCGTGATAGCTAGAACGAGCAACAAATCAGTGCTACAGTGTCACAGAGATTGCGGCATTGACCGCTGGAGAGTAAAGCATGCTTTACTAGCATAATGATCTAATTCACAGCACTGGAAGAAAACGCCAGTAAAAAAGCAATTGACAACATTTGAGATAAACTCAAATTCCGCTGGCATATCAGTTGGGCCTGGGTACAATTGTGTATACCCCATGTTAATCACTGAAACTCGAACATACGAAACTCTTCACAGTAATCGCAGTCCTCCAACTTTTGAAACTGGCTGGATAGTGTGCGTCCGGATACCATGGGCAGCGGATCTGAGCTCCCACTACGGATCTGCATGGTCTGGCTGGTCGCGGGACTGGCGACCGGCGAGGTACTTCGTTGCTTCGAGTGCCTCGACGAGGAGACGTCGTGTGGCTCTGGTTATAATTCCCCGGGAAGAGTGCGACAATGTCCGAACTCAACCATGTGCTCAACCACTCTGATGACGACAATGGTGAATGGAAACGTGTGGATCAGGGGGAGGAGAGGCTGTGCCAATCAGGTTGATGTGTACTTGGACTATGTTGGAAAGCATTGGGAGCCGAAGTATAAACTGATAGACTTGCAGGAGGGCTGCAAGAAGGAGAACGGAATAATAAGTTGCAACTGCTATGGACAACTGTGCAATTCAGGAAATCATTCGCCAGCAAGTTTCCGGTTGCCGTTAGTGCTGATCTTTTTGGCCCTGGCCTATGGCAAAATCCTTCTTCCCGTCTAGTCGGCGACACTTTTTGGGGTGTGTTCTCGGGCATACGAATACAAACTACCAGTTGCCGGAACTCTCTAGGCCACAAATATAATTTTAAGCAGATTAATGATTTATGTGCGACAGTTTTCAAAGGTGAAACCTTGTCAATAAAGTCACTGATACCAAATAAACCCAATCAAACTCGTTCTGACATTGGATATGGATCGTAAATACCTGACAGATTTACATCTGACCGATCGGATACGATGGGATGTGATGAGATATGGCATGGACGCATGTGACGCATCGAAGAAAGTGCGATATTTGGCCAGTTTGGGACTCAAGGTCAATGCCAAACATATTACATTCTGAGTCGGACCAATAAAATAACACCAGCAGCACTCGTGAGGCGTGAAGATGTGATATCTGATGCGAATAGCATGCAAATCAAGTGACAAGCGTCCGAACATCACAAATCGAACTTGTAATTGATTAAAAAGTCATTTTATTTAAATACTTATTAAGTATTTGTGACTTTAATGCATGCCCCCATATAGATATCGGCAAAAGGCCGAAATCGAAACGCCTCGGAACATACAATATAACAATAACAGCACGCGCCGTGATTCACACAACAATCTGTTCGGATGACAGTGATCAGTGATCACCTCCCTGCCGATCTGCAATGGATCCCGTCTTGGTTCCCCGGATCTGGGTTCAGCGTACGACCTTTGGAGTGCAGTGACTGTGACGCATTATCGATACTTGTGCTCGGCGGTCGGTACTCGGTACTCGGTATCCAGCATCCGATGCCCGATGCCCGGTGTCCGGTGCTTCGATACTCGGCGGCCACAAGACGCGGCGTTTTAATCACAGTTTATGTGGATTGGTATTATTAATCGCCATATGCCCGGCAATGTGCAGTGGCAATCATTCTCCACGGCGACCATACACTGGAAATAATCGGAGCTCGCCACTCGGGTTTCACTTTTGATCACTTTTTCACAATCACAATCACAATCCCTATTTTAAAAGTCGCACTAGATTATCATATATATTATGTATCGAAATTGTGGGCTATCAATAAAACAACATAATTATAGCTCCAATGGTATCCACAGATGTCGCTAGCCCAACAACCCAATCCAGATGTAAATAATTCCAATGGTAGCAACATACTCGTATATCGAAGAAATACACAGTAAATAACCGGTCTTAATAAAGGGAAATTCTCTTTCATTTCACACTGCTTATTGCTTATTGCTAGGTAGCAACCATAATCTCGACAGCATCTCCAGACGCTTAACTGTTAAGGACACATTCCGAGCCGATCCCCAAGCTGTCACTGTCAGCGCCTCGGTGTCAACGTTTGCTACAAACAATTAAATTCGTTTTTGTCAACATTTTTCTTCTGCCGGTTCCATCCGATTCCGGTTATACATATGCTGCGATCCCCGAAACCCAGCCCCAGACCGAAGGCCCATCCTCATCCGCATCTCCATCCAATCTCCATCCGATCTCCATGCGATCTCCAGCTCGATCTTCAGCTTCAGTTCCGATATTAACGCATTTCGCAGTGCGAGCGGCGTGCGCATTGTCTGAATTGTTTCTTATTTTATTTATATTGTTTTGCACATTTTTTGCTGTATTTCCGCCGGTGCGTAATTTATGATTTCATTACGGCACTTTTATGGCGCTTCCGAGTGCCTCCAGATAGTTGGGTATCCGATGAATCCGAGTCTGCTATGCCAGCGATGTGATGTTGTCATCGGTTGCCACGACTAGTCAACTTCGGACTCCAGCTGGGAATTTAACAGACGTCGTTCAGGGATTGCTGGATATATTGCTGTTATATATTGGCTTATTTTGAATATCGCTTCCTTGCAATGAATTGCCAAGAAATTCTGAAAATGGGAAAGATTAAGTATACGACCGGTGGGATCTAGGAATTTAATAGCCTTATTTTTATGCTTAACTTGTAAACATGGTTTTTATTTTGGGAATATGTGGAATTATCTCCTAAGTTGACATAGTACTGGTATATATGAGTAACGATTTTATTTTTCTTAGAAGTATATCATGTACTCATTCTGTAAGCTAAGCTCGACATTTTGATATGCGTTAAAAGTTTTCGTCATTTGAATTGAGTTGCCCATTATCCTATAAAAAGTTCTTCCCACGTCGATGACACAAAAAAAAAACAGAACGCGAAATAAGTTACCTATATGGGGTTTATTGTTTTAATCGCTGTGACGTCCGCTTTGACATGAACTCAACCTTCGATTATCATCGAATTGAAATTGCTTCCAAAATAATTCGCTCTTATTGTTCAGACGAATTTCGATGACAATTCTGAAAAACATGGGAATTTCTTTTTCACAACTAGAGTAAATAGCTCTGATGAGTCACTAAAAGTTCCATATCCTTCGATCTAAAAACAACAATATTGGGTGAAGAACTGGATTAAGCGTCACTTGTCCAATAATACAAATTGCCTAATTGGTAATAAATAAAATTACATTTTACTTGTGACATTGATGATGCTCCGGAGAGCGATTAAACTGGAAGAGGCGGAGAGAACCAGACAAAAGGTGGAGCCAGAAGAATTCGGCTCATCTTCTGCCTAAAAAGCCAAAGGGAGCAGCTTGAGGTACAACTCTTCAAGAAATGTAGCTGCTGAACCGAAGTGAACCGACGAATCTCCGCTCAGAGAATATTTTTTAGGCGCGACGATGCGTTGAGAGCAGCGCTGCGACTGCGAACCTGGCACATTTCTATATAAATCCGGTGTACTGGAAGGGAAACCAAACATTCCTGTTGCAGTCGCCTTTCGAGCAGGACTACCATCTCAGTTAACTCATCTTAAAGGATACTCTTCCCCGAAGGATACTCAAAGCAAACATGTTCACCAAGTCTATGCTGAGCTTCTGCCTGATCGTGGTGAGTAGCGGAAAAGGATATATAGGTCCTGATCGACGACGAAGTGCTGTGTCCCCCAAGTGCTGCTCACGTGCCTAAGCAAAAGTATACACAATTGAAATCATTTCATTGGTCCAAGACTGTTTGCTTACCAGCCAGTTTTAGCACAATTAATTAGCTGCTGCACCTTTTGTGAAGCCTTGAACCATTACTGCCAGCCGCAGATAAATTCGAAACTCGACTGTTTGAGTACATTCAACCGCCACTTCCTGTCACATTTGAGCGCATTATGCAAATCGGGTTATTAAACCACATCCTCCTCCTCCGCAGGCCCTCTTCGTTGTCTGCCACAGCAGTCCCGTTCCGGATAATAACGGCAAGTATACGGTTCCACAGCAATCCTCTAGCGATGGCAAGTATCGACCCAGCGACGATGGGAAGTACCATGGGAATTCGCAGAACGAAGGTATTTTCGTGAGACAATCAAATATCAAGTATCGTGCCTACTGCCACGCCCAATGACTGCATGCCGCTGCAAACGCCCACTAACCCCAGCAAATGTGAATAGATCGAGAAGCAAGACCGACTTGCCCAGATACTAACATACTCGTAGATACTATACCACATATGTATATCTGTATACCCGACGACTTCGATAACACACACTCACCTGCACGAATAATCCGCTGACTCTCGAATAAGTTCAAGCTCAAGGCTGACATCTGAAATTAGCGATATTGTAAACCAAAATCAGATTGTTCGGGCCTTGAGCCAAACTTCTATCACTAACCAAAGAACCGTTTTTACTTTAAGCACTCTGATATTAAACATTCACTTTCTTATACTCACGCTCTAGGCCGGAGTGGTTCGCAAGAAAGTATAGGTAAACTATTGAAAGAATGAGCAAAAGATACATCTATCTCACAATCACACAAACAGAATTCATTTCACACAAAAAAGCAGTCTCCAAAGAATACCAACCTGTATATTGTAATTCAACTTGACTGTAGTTTTACTCCAAATTGCAACCAATTCAGACCCAGCTGCCTCTTTTGTACAAAAACCTAATGAGAAACTAATTAACTGTGTAAATATCTAATGTTAGATATGAATAACTTGAATAGTTTCGAAATTTAATCGCACGTCACTCACTCAAACACCGAGAGAAACCGTAGATACCCTAGATAGCCCACTAACTTCCCATTTTGTTTCTTCTCCTAAAGGTCGCTATCATCACATGCCAATTCCGTATAGACATGTGAGTGATCAGCGTGAGCTTGGAATCTACCATCACATTCCGTATCCCTATGATGGAGGCTATGGACCCTATGCTGGCTTGAATATTCCCTATGTCCATGACGACAGGCCTTACAAGTGAGTGACGCATCTGATTTTGGTGGAGTATTGTGTTTTATTTTATGTGCGCTTATGCCCATTTCAGCCACGACCTGTACACAGTAAGTAACGCCGAGTTTAATGTACCAGAAATCCCCTTGGAGTACGGCTTCCCCGATCATGAACCCCATCACCAACCGAGCACACAGTACTAAGATCCCACCAGATCCCACAAGATTCCACCAGATCCCACCAGATCCCACCAGTTCCACCAGAATCCCCCGAATTCCAACATCCGGCCAACACAGCGAATTTACCCCCCAAAACAAATCCCGAACCCCCTGCTTTTATAACCAATCCAAGCAATAATGCGAATGTTTTTCGGCTCCGCAACAAAATCCACCATTCCGCGCTACATGACACCCCACATTCGGTATCCCGCATGACCCCCAAAACATCCTATGCCACCAAACACCATGCCACACACTCGCATGCCGCACACACGCCCGATCAGAAAACCCAAGCCAATGATCACAACACCCACAACAACACTCGCAGACCACGACCACCAAGAAACCAACCACGACCACCGAAAGGACGACGACCTCAACCACCACGACCACCACCACGCCCCGCAATATTCTGTTCAACTACGATGACGAGGGTCGGCACAAGATCCTGCACAAGGAAGAGGTCCGCAAGCAGGACAAATATGATCATTCGTAAGTTTCTGTATGATTCTTTTAAATTTCAAGTCTTCATTTTGGTAATACCAATGGAAATGAAGAGCGCTTGATCTTATTTTTCGAATTCTTAATTTGCTACAGTTTTTGTGTGTTCGTTCAATCATTTTAACCAGTTCATTTATTTTACCATACAGATACCTGACCGAGAATGGAATCTATGGTGAGGAGCAGGCCAAGCTTCACCACACCGGAGGAACCCATGCCAAGGGCTTCTATGAGTACACCGGTGACGATGGCAAGCTTTATCGCGTAAACTACGCCTCCAACGATGGTGGCTTCATGCCCCAGGGAGACCACATTCACCCCATTCCCGATGCTATTGTCCGTGCCCTCAAGTACGTGGAGGAGCAGCACAAGATCAACGGAGGAGCTCAGTTCGATCATCGCGGCTTTCGCATCAATCACATGACCAAGGACCTTAAGGCGCAGATCAAGGCGATCCATCTGGAGGAGATGCCCAAGGAGCTGACCGAGCAGATCCACATGCTGGAGCACGAGGTGGAGCTCGCCGAGGAGGAGGAGCGCGAGGAGCAAGCCGAGATGGAGCGTCTCCGCGAGGAAGCCATGTCCCTTTAAGTGCCGACTCTGAGCTACCCTCATTCACAGCCATATGTTCCCGCTACCCAAGCCCCCAGAAACAGTCCTAGTCCATCCAAAACCCAAAATCCAACACCCAACTCCATTCCCCATGCATTTGCCGAGTGATCAACGGGCAAACCCTATAACAAGCCATCGCAATACCGAAAAAATCCACAAAAAAAGCAAAAGGAAGGTGAGGATGTCAGCATCGAGTGGCAACCGGAGAATATTCGCACATAAGTCCGATCCCATGTTATTTCGTATTTATTTATATGTCGAACTGTCGAATTTGACGGTGTTGCTATGCATAAGATAATTAATTTGTTATTTTCCTATATCGAAATAAAACCAACTACATATTTGTTATAAATCACCAAGAATTTTAAGTTGAGGAATTCGAAGACCACCAAAGGCCCTTGAGTTGAACGGCATTTTTGGTTTCAAAGGCCGAAGCGCCGTTGGTAATGAAATTGTCTGACATTTGGCATATTTATATGCATGTACTCATATTGAACATTTTCAATATAAAATATACGGGCAGCGTTTAAAAATTAATGGGTTTCTTGAACCCGCTATGGCGAGAAAAAAACAAGTCTTCATCTAAGTACTTGTTCTCGGTAGGCGTAATCTGCTTTTCGTATATATGTATATATATATTTATATATATATAAACTTCCGATAAGCAAGAAAGGACCCAATTTCTTAAAGTCTGACCTTGTTCTCGCTAGCTAAAGTACAGTAATGATAATAATTTTATTATTACCCGTTTGTTTTCATTTACAAAGTTCCATGTCCTTGTTAAAGGAATATACGTTAATTATAATAATTTTGTGTAAAGTCAGTCTACTAATTAACCATTAATTAAATAATAGTTTTAAAATATTGTATTTTAGATTTAATTATTTGTATAGCACACTTTTACGCTGGTGGTTATTAAAAAGAGCTTTTAGGGCGTAAGTTAACAAAAGTTAGCAAACATTAATATATGGAAAAAAAACTAGGCAGAACGTTATAATCGATTTTCCCGACTATCAGATACTACTTACTCAGCTAGTAGAATTTCTAGGAAGATATTTGAACAAACTCAGAACATTTCTCGAAATTTTGGATAATTTAATTTAGGATGGTTGAACACACAAAATTTATTAGGTTAGTTAGTGTTTCTTATAGACCACATTGGCTGGCGCTGGCTGACCGGCATAAAAAGCGGAGTTCACACCATCATCTATAAGAAATGTTTCATAAATCAGATCTATTATAAAGAGTCTTCTAGGGATACGTACAGGTGATCACGGGACGGAAGCCATTGGCATCAGCCACGTACTTGACTCCCACTCGGAGACCCTCAGGAGTGATGAAAGAGTAGGCACCCTCCACTTGCTCCTCCTGCTGCTGGTTGCCAATGCTCACTGGCACTCCTCGCTCCTCGCCATGGATGCCATTCTCCGTCTCATAGTTGTAGGAATAGGAACCCGTTCCGTAGTTCACATCATTGTTTTGCTCCACAATCCTAGCCTGTGCAGCGGCGATGTAGGGATTGTACTTCCTATAGAAGCCATCGTAGAAACGGCGAAGATTGTAGAGATCCCGATTCCTGTAGTACAGATCCCTGTAGTAGGGGTTGCGCAGGTAGGGATTGTATTGGGGCTGCCCCTTGCAGGCGATGGCAGCCAGGGTGAGCACAAAAAGGCAGGAGATCTGAAAGCACTCGCAAAATGAGATCACATCCCTTGCTGGATATATCACTAAATGGTTTTACCAGCTTCAAAGACATTTCGAATTTGGCAACTTTCAACGATGATCCGTCCGACAGAACTGTAACAGCTTCCGTGGCATTCGGATCATTTTATAACCAACTTGGAATCGCAACGCGACCATTTTGCATAAGCATCAAATTTCGGTCCATAAAATTGATTGTATTCGGCCAAAAATTGTATTTCGGGCCAGGGAGTGTGACAGTTTCCGTTTAGAATTTAGATTGGATTTTATTATAATTCGCGTATCTTTTGATTGAATAATTAAAACAAGAGCGAACGCTTAAGTCGAGTGGCGCGACTATTAGATACCTGTTATAAGATACAGATATGATATGCAGATATACGGACAGGCACACACGGAGAGACACGAAGATTGTCTGGGCTAGTGATCTTGGTCAAGAAATTATGTGCTCTATAGAGTCGGCAAGGTATTCTTATAGCTGTTACAACTTTTCAACGAATGTAGTATACCCTTTTGCTCTACAATCAATGGGTATGCTTAAGAGCAACTTTGCGATGGCCTGAAAGTAGCCGACAAACTGGCAAAACGCACAGTTGGGGGCGCTAAGTGTTTATTCGTGTTCAACCATATGAAGATATAAATGCTAATTTCCCCGGTAGACATATTTTGTATTAAGTAGTGAAATTCGAGTAGTCAGGGAATAAATTAATTTAAATTACACTGTCCTTAATTTTCCACCCACTTAGGCTTACGTGACTGCAACATGTCTGATTTATTCAATTACTCAACACGAAAATAGTTTGTTGGATAAAATTAAATTACCATTTAAAAATGTACTGATAAATGTGAACGCTAGCGTATGCTAGCCCATTTTGAAACTACATTTATATTAATATTTCTGTTTGCCGCAACTTAATTGTGTCGAATATAATTTATTGTTTCCATCCGAGACTGAGGTGAATAAAGCATGAATGGCGACGGAGACCCGGGCACATGAATGAATATGAATGAAGTTGAATATATGAATATTGGAGAGGGGGGTAGTCGCCGGCGGATCGGGGGAAGCCATCTCGATTGCATCGCCGGCCTTCACATTTCGCGTGCGATTTGACAGCAGTCAACGGGTGCAACAATAGCAACGTAATTATGTCTACACTAGCCAGCAAAAGTCACGTGCCAGTCAGGTCGGGTTTTCGTTTTATTAATTGGTGCCTTTTATGTGCGCCTTTTAAACGAGAATACTATTTATTTAACTGCTGAAATAAGCATTTTTATGGCCAAGCTAGCTGAGACAAAACAAATTGAGATCAATGGGCAATCCGAGTGTACCCCAAACAAATGCGATATCTAACATATTCAAAACAATCCCGCCTTCTGCCACATCTGGATCTATAAATGTCCAAATACTGGTCATTTGTATATCTTATGTTTCCGATTCTGAAGTCGCCGCTCTGCGGAATGCGTTAAATAAGATCTGCCTATGGATCGGAAAAGATATATTTATTCGGTCATTTGCATAAACGAGCCGCTGAAAATTTGTCATCCAATTAATTGGCTCGAATTTATTTAACATTTGTATTTAAATATTCATTGGGGTTTAAGTTTCAATGTGGCTTGATAAATTATCAAACAGCAGATTTCTCTTGTAATCAAGACCATTCAAGGGTCTATCGGTTTCCAGTAATTTAAATATAGAATTATACCGGCTGTTGCCCATATTAATTCGGTTGAGGCAATCGTTGACAAGCGGTAGGAAAAATGCAACCGCATATTAAATTATTAAACACCTTCTCACACTCAGAAAGACAAAAGGTATGTAGAGTTGGTGAAGTGAACGAATAGCTTAGCACCTAAGTGACAAAACAATTACAACATTAATTATTAAATGGACACTTTATTCAAATTGGACCAAGGCAGTCCTTATAAATGTATTACTTTCCGAAAGCCTAAGCCCAGTTAATGTTAAGAGCCGAAGTGTATGTACAAGAAACAAAGCTGAAAATGACAGCTTTTCGTTCCTTTGAGGACTTCATCTACATGGCCAACATGATGTTCAAGACCCTGGGATACGATCTATTCGATACACCCAGATCCAGGTGCAGCAATCTGCTACTCCGAGGATATTTCGTCTTGTGCACGACCAGCAGCTTTTACGAGGCTTCCATGGTGACGATACGGATCATTCAGTGGGAGTCCTTAGCCGGCAGTCCCTCCAAAATTATGCGACAGGGTCTGCACTTCTTTTACATGTTGAGTGCCCTAGTAAAATTTGTCACTTTCGTGATAAATCGCAAACGCTTGCTGCAGCTGTGCAACCACTTGAAGGAGTTATATCCTCATAAAGCGCAAACTCAAAGGAAGTACGAGGTGAATAGATATTACCTATCACGTGCAACTCAATATGTTTTGTACGTGTACTACTTTGTAATGGTCATAATGGCTCTGGGACCCCTCCTTCAGTCGTGCATTATGTACCTATTAGGCTTGGGAAAAGCTGAGTTTACCTATAAACGCATTTATCCCACGCGCCTCACTTTTGACTCTGAAAAACCGTTGGGCTATGTGGTGGCCTACGTTATAGACTTCACATATAGTCAGTTCATAGTGAATGTGAGCCTGGGCACGGATCTCTGGATGATGTGCATCTCAACTCAAATATCGATGCACTTGGGCTATCTGGCCAAAGTTTTGGCCTCGTTTTGTCCAAGTCCAGAAACGGAACAGCAAGATTGTTACTTTCTGGCCAGAATCGTGAAGAGACATCAACTAATGCTCAGGTAACTTTGCTTAATTGGTTAACTTTATTTAATAATATTATGAAATACATTTTGCAGCCTTCACAAGGACGTAAACCAAGTATTTGGACTTCTTTTGGCTTCTAACTTGTTCACCACAGCCAGCTTACTTTGCTGTATAGCGTACTATACCATCGTACAGGGTTTCAATTGGGAGGGTATTTCCTATATGGCTCTCTTTGTTAGTGTAGTAGCCCAGTTTTACATGGTCAGCTCACAAGGACAAAAGTTAATAGATTTGGTGAGTAATATGGTGTGGGTCAAAGGACAGCTTCTTAAAATTACCTTTTAGAGTACAAATATAGCATACGCTGCCTATGAAAGCAAGTGGTATGAAGGATCGGTGCGATTCAAAAAGGATATACTTCTTCTGATGACACAGGCTCAACGGCCTTTGGAGATTTCAGCCAGGGGAATAATTATCGTATCTTTCGATTCCTTTAAAATAGTGAGTATGACAATGTAAGAGTGTTTTAATAACAACTTGCCTATTGATTCGTAGCTGATGACCATCACATACCGATTCTTCGCGGTAATACGACAAACGGTAGGACAGTAAACTAATTCCTCATATGGAATTTATGGAATTACCGATGTATTGAGATTTCTATCAATTTTGTTAAAAATGACTTTATGTCTAAATATAAAAAAATACATGTGCTTGTATTACTATATTTGACGGTACAGATTGCAAAAGCGTATGAACTAAAAGAAGCGAATATTAAAGTGTATTGCAGTGAATATGTGCCCTACGGAAAGCGTACTAATATAGTCATAGCCATGGAGAGTCTTCCTGTTAAGTATAAAGTAACCATATGGCTCAGTACTCCCAGCTACCTATTGGCACTCTTTGAGTTGGGAGGTGTAGCTAAAGAAATGGGTCCCAGCTTCCGAAGCACCTCATCAATCAGCGAAGAGCTTTCATACTATGGAATCAAGTCGAAAATTGAACCCGATTATGAACAGGGATTCTTTGCCAATTTAAGCGCAACTTTTTGGTCGGTCAGCGATACGGTTCTAACGCTTCTTGGTCGAATAAAATTAAAGCAAATATCTGAGATCAAAATATCCATTCCCGTTGAAGTAAGTCTTCCCCCGCGTTGTTCTCCGCAATTGACAGTGCCTAAGTGCTCAGATCCCCAATCACCACGAAGAGTTCTGATCACTCGTGGCATTTTAATCAATGCCATATTTCTGGAATCCTGTAACCTACCAATAAAGGCTATATATCACTGGAGTCTAAGAGATTTTGTTGGGTTAAGTGAGTAGCTCAGTGTACCAAATCACCTTCTCTATCCATCCTTTCCACAGCACAGTTTGCCTCATATACCACAGATGGTCCTTTCATTAATATTCCGGCATTTACTATGCGGTTTCCCACTTCCTATGAACCCTGGCGAAATTTGTATCTTTTACAAGTCGAAGGAAAGGTGAATGGCTTGCATTTCGCGGCGCGATGTTACCTAAAATCGATTATGGGTAATGTCGAAGCCGTAATTCTTGGGGGTCAAAATAGACTGGCCCGACAGAGTGAAACGATTTGGATGAACGGCTCCCTGAGCTGCGATTTCTCTAAGAGGAGAGGAGACATCCAGTTCTCTAGTTACAATTGGAACTGTTTTTCTGTTGATGACATTCGTAATCCATTTTGCCAGCGGAACATATCGTCGGGTGAGATGCTTAATCAAGTGATAGATATGTGCATTATCATATTTTTCCTATAGTTGCGGTGTTTTCTATTCCAGCCAACTCTTTTAAAAGTGGCTGCAAATATATCTTCCGTTTGCAAGTCTCTAGAGATGGCAATCCCAATGTTTCGTCACGAAAAGTTCAAGGTATTACCGTCATAGATCATAAAATACTACAAGTAACGATAGAATGTGTAAGGAATTGCAGAAACGATTTCTTTACTCCCAGCGCAAAGATTCACCTAACATCAAGGTGCTCCAATTGCGGGGGTGAACTTGTCAGATACAAATGGTATATTGATGGTCAGCTGTTGGTCACTAGTCGAGATCTAAGAATGTACATACGCTCTGCATCAAAAGGAATCCGCATTAAGCTCATTGTTTTTTCAAAGTATGGGATCTATGGCCGGAAGGTAAAAAACCTGGTTAGAAATACGGGTCCCAGAGGCGGGTTGTGTTCGGTTTATCCAAGGCAAGGTTACGAGGCAATCACTCCATTTTATCCGTGCTGCCAAAACTTTGTGTCCCTGAATGGTCCCAAAGAGTATTGGTATTTTGCTGGGTCAGTTCTGCTGGGAAGTTGTGTGGACTGCAACTGCGAGGTATACTTACCTGTTACCAGCTCCATAAAGGTGCTCGTTTGTGATGTAGCTTGGGCATGTCGCACCACTTGGATTAAGGTTAAGATCAATCCCCTGAGAAGTATTCCCAACAATATCCATGGTCTGCTGGATAATGGACTAATTGATCGGTATTTGCAAACCATTCAATCTTCAGCATCGCACATAACTAAAGCGGAATCTGGAATAATTCTTACCAGGAATCTAACAAATATTCCTTTCCAGTCGCGGAGTTCACTCGCAAGGTTGGCTAACCTCACCTTAACTTTGTCACATCGGTTATATTTTGTCGGTCAGCAAAAGGAATCTCTACTTACGATGTTGGTCAAGATAATTAATGACAACTTTGAGCAAATAAACAAGAACGAAGAAGAAACCTTTATTATGCAAAAGCCATTTGATAACTTAAGACAAGCTTGCAGAGAGGTCTATGAAATAATAGAGAGGTTGTGCAAAATGTCTCCTCGTCCCCCATGGTCAGTTTACAGTCACTACTATCGGGCATTTTCAACTGGAAAATTGGATCAGTCCCTTGTTGAAAAATTGGTGGATGAGACCAAAAAACTTGGAAACGATGAAACAAATATTCCGTGGATTATTTGGCTGAACTCCACTTGGGAAATGGAGCGCCTATATCGTCATTTAAACTATCATCGCGGTATTCTATCCGATATGGGTGGCCAGAGGAAGGCATTGCCCAGCGAAGTTGCAATGGATGTTCAATGTTTCAATACTTTTCCCAAGAAAATCGTTCGAGTACTTACAAGTGATAAGATTCATATGGTATTTTTTGGGCAAGCAGTTTTGAAGGAAGTTCTGGGAACGGATGAGGGCAGAGTATGCCTCAAGCTGGTTTCTATCAAACTGAAACTGAACTGGTGGTACCCAATTTACAAGAAGCCCAGTACACTTGTACTTTCAGTTCGAATTTTTCAAAGAGAAGATAATTTCACGGTGCATATACCACTGAATCGGAGTCAAATTCACACGAAGACTTTTATAACCTATGACCCCGAATTGGCAACCGAGAACAGGAATAGTTCTCGATCAATCAGCAGCAGGGTCTCCCCAAGATCGATCCTCCTTTCCACGGCCGAGATAAAAAACTGCCTTAGAGAAGGCACTCTTCAAACTCATCAGGATATCCGTATGTACCGCTTGGTCCTAATGGAGCATACATTGCTGGCTGTTCATTTCACCACATCCACTCACAAACTTCAGGTGGTCCTTAGAACAAAGAAAAAGCCCTCCTTCCGCGAAATCTCCGACTCCAAGTGCACAATCCCTGCATTATCGACGAATACAACCCTTCTTCTGCGAAATAACTGCCGCAAAGCTGATCGAGCATATATTGCACTGAGAGTTTATGCTAATTCCTCCATAAGCCAGACCGACAATACACCCATAGAGAACGGACCGGCAAGATATGCTTTTGTTTTTCAGATTCGTAGCTGTGACACATGGTGGTATTCCTCCTCTGGTTTGGATAATCAGAAGTGGTCTCATTATGGGTGCTACCCCACGATGGATCTCAGCGTGGAGAAGGGTATTCGTTGCACCTGTACTATCCTGGGAACTTATACTAATTACTTGCACTATCTTCCTGGTGTGGAGCTTCCCGTTGGAGTTTTCAATGTAGCAAAGCTAAATGTTATAGTTATACTTTTCTATGTCACCATCTTTTCATTTATACTGCTATGGATTCTATGGTTATATGTATACCGAAATAGACTTCCAAGTAAGACTATTCTATTTCCTAAGTTCGAACTGGACGACGAATCAACGGGAGAGTTGCATAATGTTCTAATCTCCTTAAGGACCGGAGGTCGTATAAATGCTGGAACCACAGCTTCTGTGCACTTGTCTTTCCATGGCCAATCACAACCCGTCCGGCATATAACAATCATGCAGGATCCCGAACATATAATTCTGAAGTCTAATAGCACACTGTATATTTGGGTACGAACTCGAGATATCCGCATCCCAACTACGATTATGGTTTCCCACAACAACGCCGGACGATTTCCAAAATGGTTCCTTCGCCGCATCGAGTTGACCGACATCCAGACAGGTAAAACGCAGGTGTTTTTAGCCCGACAATGGGTGGAGAAAAGAACGCTACTGTTGTCTTCATCGCTGATCTATAGCCAAGGAGATGTACGAATGTTTGACCGTTGGAAGAATCGATTTATAATGAGCTTCGAGATGTTATGGATCAATTGGTCCTTGTGGCAACCTGTGACTGGCAGTTGGAGGGAGTCCGTCAAGTATCCACGTATGTCTCGAGCCAAAAGAATTTGCGAGTTCATCAGTAAACTGCTTATCAATTTCACCATATGCGTCGTTTTCTTTGGCGTTACAACATCCGAAAACTTGAATTTAAATCGATCTACGTTTTTGCAGTACAAGGATATTATAATACTTACCATGCTGTGCTCTTTTGTAAATCTTATGTTGCAAATTATGTTTGACTTGGTTAACTATAGATTCGGTTAAGATGGCTTTGTTAATAAAATCAATAATGTATTTTAGAATACACATGGGTCTAATTCTGCTTCATGGTAGTAAAACGAGATTTGTAGTAATTTCTTGGCACTAAGGTAAAGATAAGTGTTTAGCTTAATGTCAGAACATTGGCGTGACAAATTTGAATATGCTGAGGGAAGGGGTGTTCCTAAATACCCACTCCCGCATAATAAATGTCTTGGCCGCGATTTGCATTAATTAGCCATGAGCCGCAAACGACGACGCCCACGTGCTGCAGATCGATCCCTCTGCCATTTGAGATGGCTGTCAATTTGCATAAATCACATTAATGAACTGAGCCCAGCGAATCTCGAATGCCCAGACGGATTAGCTAAAGGCCATGTGGGTGACTCATTCATACCAACACCCAATGTGCTCCAGTTCCTGACCACGCGAACCAGTTAAGAGCACTGAAGCAGAGCAGATATGACGGCCATCCTTGACCATGAATGGGCCACTAAAACCAAAACCCTCTCCATAACTCCGTTACCACCAAAGTGCAGTAGCTGGGATCGCGACATGACCAGAACCACTGACATTTAACCGCAGCAACTGGTTCCCCACCGCATCCATTTGGGGGTTTCTGCTGCGGTGGGCAATTATTTATTTATGCCTGCATTGACATTAGCATTAGCCAGCGCAAAGTATGCCAGGCTGGACCGTAGATGTGGCCAATAGTTGGCCAAAAGGCGGCTCTAGCTTCTTACGCAACCACTTAATCAATGCGGACAACCGATTTACAGAGATGCCAACCCAAAGAATTGGCTGGTGGGGAGATGCCTCTTGGTTATTAACTTTTGATCTTGAGCCAAAAAGGATTTCGGGCTTAAAAAGATTTTAAAAGCTTTAAGTCAGTCTCCGTGTCACAAAAATATCTTGAACTTTGGCTAAAGATTAAAGACTCGACCTCAAATAGCAGCAAAAGGTGATTTGAATGCAATAAAAATGGTATAGAAATAACGAAAATTTTCCAAATTAATAATAAGCCCCCAAAAACTATTGTTTAGTAGTATTTGTGTTAATATTATTACAACTGCCATTAATTTTAATTTATATTTAAATTTCCACTTACATAGTTTGAGCAAGTAAGCTACACAAACAATTAAAATTAAATGTATCATTACATATTTAGGTGTGCTGCACTGAAATTCGCCTCGTTTAAGGTGTAGACAAAGGCTGGCACCTCGGATCGGCGCTACAGCGTAGACATCATGCCCGTCCCCCTGCTGGGTATCAGATTGCAGACAATACTCCAAACGTCTTTAAAACAAATTACGCTGTGTGCCGTAAAGAACGCGATGCGACCTTCAAATTGGACAGCGGGCGAGAACAGGTTGGGCAACCAGAATATGACCATATAGCCATATATCCATAGAGCCAACTGACATTTTGTGGCATCGGGTTCTCTGATCGCAGAAGCCATGCGTAACAATTCAAGGTTCCGCCGCCTAATAAGCCAGATGGGAAATGCTCGGTTGAGAACATAAATCTCATTGGACAGCCACTTAAGTGGAAATAAACACATTTAAAAGTGGTACATTAAATATTAAAATGAATGCACACAAATGTATTGCAAATTCATAATTATACATAATTATTGCAAACGGCAAACAAAAGGGTTAATCATAATAAGGCCATAAAATGGCCACAGACTTTGACTTCCACCTCGACGACTTCGACTTTAAGACGTAAGTTCGGCAATAGTTTGTACTCGAACTATATGGGTTTTTTTTCGATCTTTTCTTGGTTGCCAAAGACAAAAACAATACAATACAATACGGCCACAATCTTTGGGACAATCTTGTCACGAAATTCTGTCGCCGTCTGTGTCGCAGTTGCAGTTAGCGGATGGAGATGGAGATGGGGCCGGAGGATGGGGAGGATGGGGGTTTTGGGCCGGAGTTGCAGACAAAGTCTAAGAGTCTGGCCCCATCTGCTGGCCCAAAGCTATTCATTAGACGCGCCTACACTTTGGCAGCGACGGCAACAACTTGGCGTTTAGCAATTTCTGGCATTTTGACCCCGTGCACGGCTTCAGTTTGAGGTCTGCCCATGGGTTTGGATTTCGGTATGGGTATGGGTATGGGTACCGGTATGGGTAAAGGTTTGGGTTTGGTCTTGGGTACTGGATACTCGGCTTGTACTGGGTAATGCCGCTCGGTGGCTGCTTGACTTTGATTGCGATGGCCGATTAATGCAGCGCATTTAAATGCAACGGTTCACCCCCCAAAAATCAATGGGCCTGCCCCATTTCGAGTCAGGTGGCAACGCCGGCGGCCGAGATCGGTATCATCACCGCTATTATAACTATCATTTATGTGGGGCGTATCCATCGACCGTTCTTCTTTCGTCGCCGGCTGCTTACACTGAAGGAAATTCAACTAAGAAAATATTGCAATTTATTAACTATCTGGTGTGCATAAAGTCCTAGTAGTTCAGCAAGGTTTGTTTTCAAATCGTTTGAAAAACAGCTTAGTCAACTTTAGAAAGTAAATTCTTCGATACTTATATATCTTAAAAACAATCTAAGCAAAATCTAAGCAATCCTCAAGGAAATCAATTATTGATTCGGATTTGAAAACTAGCAACTAAATCATTAATTGTAAGTGTAATTTATTCACTCCACTTTTAATACGATACCATGAAATAAAAAGCAGATCTAATTACTCTTATCAAGTGGATCCCTATGTAAATAAATATATATTTTTAGCTAAATAGTGAAAACTGGTTTTTTACAAATATACTTATTTATACTTTTTACTATAAAACTCGATCATTAACTATTTAGATATTATAAGCGTTATTTACAACGATTTGTATCCCGGTGTGTCTATTTCCGCCGGCTGATGCAATTACCAAGCAATAGATTTAAATGGTGTAGACGCTCTGCAAAAACCTGAAGCAATTGCATAAATTACGTGTACTTAGTACCGAGTTCGTTCTTTATTTCCAGCCCAGAACAACTGGGCCTCCGCCTCAGTCGTCGCTTCTGCTGCTCTTTGGTAACAGCGACGTCGATTGCGACTGCGACTGCGACTTAGGCGTTGAATCTTTAGTTTAGTTTTTCTCCTCTCTTTGGCCAGCCACCTCGTCAACCACCAACCCACCCACCTATCTGTGCACCCGTACCCATCCCCCTACTAGCCAAGTTGCTTGTTGGTTTTGGCCGTACTCGTGTCGCAGCTTTGCATCTTGGCAATAGTGTATGTGTGTGTGTGTGCGACGCTTTGCCAACTGAAACTGAATTGTTTGCAGCCTCGCCAGTGCAATTTTCGTATAAATAGACTCACCTGCCGGCATTGGGCATCATTAAATAGAAACGTTCGTTCAATTAACAACTGCAGTGTGCTGAGGACCCAGACGAAAGGATACTTTTGCCGTTTGGATTATACTACTGAGTTTCAAACAAGATGAAGAACGTAAGTGGGTGCCAAAGGAGTCGAGTGATCAGAAGTGTTATGGAACATACATAGGGGAAAAGTGTCTAAAAGGATAGGATCGAGGAGCCGACATTAGGGATAGATTGTGCTCAATAATACAACCCCTTGTGAAACAGGTGAATAAGGCAGAGATGGTCATCATTGGTTAAAATGGAAGAAACTCCCAAAGACTAGTTGAATTTTGAGCTAATATATATATATTTTAGCGAACTTTTAACAAATCAGCTAAGCAAGTCTGCATCTAAGATTTACCCATAAAAAGTGTTGGGAAAGATCATTACTCGAACCCCAATTGTAGGGAATTCAAGTTTCATTTTCGCAAATAAGTTGAGTTCTACAAAAATGTGAGATATTAAATTCCGTGGCAACTAATCTCCACATCTTCCACCAATTGCCAAAAGACATATGACGAGACGTGCTCCGGCAGTAAAAACAATCGTAAATCAATCGCCTAAGGTGAGCTTTTGAAGCATTTATTAAGGTTCAGGAAAAAAAAAGCAAGGCCCTTTTGAAATGCTTTTTTGGCCAAATCATCAGCAATTACGAGGCTCGCCGGCTGTAAAGGCGGGTGCAAAAACATATAGCACATTGGCAACGGGTGCAGACATGTCTTGCCATTTGAATGGCCTAAAAGCCAAAGGCAATTAGCGGATTCAGATTCCGAGGCAGTCTGCTCGCCACGCAAAGGTCAGAGTCAGACCCACGGACCAACACCTGGCAGCTGTCCATCGGACTGAAAAGTTCAGACACGAAATTGGAATCGCAGACGGAAAACGAAAACGAAACCCATTCAGCTCGCTTCAGCGACAATTGCCCAAGAGTCGATGTGGGGAGAGCTCAAAGTGGCCAAAAAATAAGAAGTCAGCCCAAGCTAACTCCGATGAGACAGTGGAACACGCCCCACCATTTTCAAGCTCTTTTGTGTAAAAGTTAATTGAGTCAGTCGACATTAGGTGTGTGAGTGTGGAAATGTGGAAAATATTTAATTGGCATCTATTTGCCGACCTCAAAAGGTGTCTAAAAAGCCCGGTATGTGAGAACAGCAAATAAAATAGCGAAGATAGCTAAGGCAATAAATCTCGGCTCTCGGGGACGTTGCATAATAGCACTCATAGCATCGGGCACGATTTCAAGATGTTTATTAGCTCGGTTAACATTGCGGAACTCTCCATTTCGTTTTCCCTTCGACAGTTTGCTCTCTGTCTGCTGGCCATCGCCTTGATGAGCTGCTGCCAGGCTGCCCCCCAAAAAGCGGAGGAGCCCATCGCCATCATCAGCCAGGAGTCCAACATAGAGCCAGACGGATCCTACAACTACGCGTAAGTAATCCGAAAAGTTGAGACATCATTAAGATCGTTAAGATATATAACAAGCCTTTATATAATACGTGTTAATGAGCTATTTGCACGTTAATTGAACTTCAACCTTTAATTATCTCAAGCCTCTGAAACTCTTTATAGTTGAAAACCGGGCTTGAACAATCTTAGTAATATAGCAATTAAGATCTGTCCGTTGCTAGAAACCAACATTTTGAAGCATACTTCGGGGAATAAACTCATAAATTTTTGTTTATGAGAAACCCCTAAAAGTGGCTTACAAATTTAAGATGATCCATCTGTGATTGTGGCTAAACTAAATCTTTTAGTAATCCCCCAACACCACTTTCCCTTAACCCGTTAGCAAAACCAGCTATTGGTTTCCATTAAAATCAGAAAAAATATGCTAATAAAGCTAACGAATTATGGATTAGTGAGCCATATTTAAATAGAGGTCTGCGCAGAAATGCTAAAAGTTGAACAACTGATTGAATTTTAATTTGATTTGCTTGGCGCCAGTCAAATGATGCATAAAAACAAGCTGACTTTTTGTTTATATTATATATCGCAAGAATTCAAGGAGAATTCGGTTAGACCCTTCGATGTTAAATATATTTTATATATTTTTTTTCAATCGGTACTTGCAGCTACGAGACGGCCAATGGAATCAAAGCTGAGGAGACAGGAACCCTGAAGAAGGCCACCTCGCCGGACTCCAGTGACGTGATCATCGCCAGGGGATCGGTGTCGTACACCTCGCCCGAGGGCAACCTGATCACCCTGAACTACTCCGCAGATGACGAGAACGGTTTCCAGCCGCAGGGCGATCATCTGCCCACTCCGCCACCAATCCCACCAGCGATCCAGAAGGCTCTGGACTACCTGCTCAGCCTGCCCCCGGCAAAGCGTCGTTAGGAGATGTAATCCCCCTAGATGTTGACCAACGATTCTGACCAACCTCGATTACGATGTGTATATGCTGTTGCTGCAAGTTGATTGCTGCCAATCCCCCAATTCCCCAATCCTGATCCCTAGACAATCACACATAAGACACCAGCCAAGGGCTGCCACCTCCTCCTCCTCCTACTTCTTTTCCCGCTTAGGAGGTCAAAGGTCGGCCAAATCCACTGACTGAAGAACACACACTCAAATGGATGTGAGGGACAACACCACACGAGAACCACACAACAACACGATGAAACTGATAGCCCAGTCTGATTTCTTGCTTTCTTCCACGAACTGTACTCTATGCGAATTTCTTCAGATCTTTTAGTCGCCGGAACTCTGCCATTTTCGGACTCATGTGATATCGTCGATTTATCAATGAAATCAACAAAGAAAATGTAAAAAAAAAATACACGCAAACAAGAAATTACCTAAATAATGTACAGGAATATTATCAACAGCGAACTCTGTGTAAATAGTCTGTAAATTAGAAACATTTACACGTAGTCTTAGCCAAGATGTCGATGAGGACCCAGCGAGAAGTCACCTCGTTGCGTCGAGAATTATACAAACTCTTGTGAAGAACTATGATGATATTCTTTAGCCTTAGCTGCAAATAAAGAATTAAAGATTCTTTCGAAAAGTAAACAAATCAGATGTTTTAACTATGTGGACATGCCCGAATCGGGAAACCAAACGGCCTCTAATAATCCTTAATAGTCTAAGTCGCAATAGCTAGCACCTGGTTTCAGAACAGCTTTGACATCTAAAACATCCCACTCCCACTGACACTGATAGTCTCGCGGATTGGAGCTTCCGTCGTGCTCATAAATCTAGATTCACAATTCACCAAATAGCAGCGATGACAAACACTGAAAGGAATTAATGCATTCACAGAACTGGTTGACCAGATGCACACACATTGAGAATATAGTTTAAATAGGACTTTAGATCGTAAGGCTATTCATAGACTCTGCCCAAAAATAACTGCTCGTTTTATTCTCCTATACTGTTTTGCACTTCAAGGCGAGATTTAGATGTGATAGACTCATCTTATGCAAAGTGGCCAGACGCAGGCTGGCAAAAATGTGGTCAAGTTGGTTAGGAATCGCCGAGAACCAGAATAGGTCTGATGTCGATGACGAGTGCCCACAGAAGGCGGCACGACATTACTATTATTTATTTTTATATTTATTTGGAAAACAATGTGGGGGCAGGCCGAAATCGTCGAAACGTCGGAAACGTCGTCTGCACCAAATTTCACACCCATTTTCGAAAGGCCAGCGACGAACGGAGCGGTGCAAAACAAGTTCAATATTATTTATTGGTCACATTTTAATTTAATGTTAAATATTTTAGTACAGAAATTCTAGCATGGCTTCAAGAGTTCGCTAATTCCGTTGCCTATAAAAGAGGCTTTGTTTACCGCTGGGATCACCAGTCGAAACGAGACACCAGTTTGGATTGCATTGCAGTGATATTGATAGAGCCGAATAGAGATCCCGCCATGAAATACCTAATGTTGATTGCCCTGTTTGTGGTCGCTGCTTCGGCGACGGACAACGATGACCCGATTTCCCAGGAATCCAATGTGGAGTACAATGGCAAATACCATTATCAGTGAGTTCATTGTCTGATTGAAGCCCTATTCCGACTAATTCACAACTTATTAACCCAGTTATGAGCTCAAAGACGGCTCAAAGGCCACTCAGGATGGTGTTTTGAAGTCCGTGAATGCAGATCACAACGGGGAGTCGGTCAATGGAAGGTACTCATACGTATCCGACGACGGAAAGACCTATGTTGTGTCCTATACGGCGGACGAGAACGGATACCGGGCGGTGGGTGACCACCTGCCCACGCCTCCACCCACGCCGGAGTCCGTTCTGAAGGCTCTGGAGTACATCCGCCTGCATCCGTACAAGACTCCCGAGAAGAACCAATAATCATTCAGCTAGAACTAAACCAGAATGTGATTGGAACCAAAAAAACTGAGAATAATATTCAAAGTTATCTGAAAACAAATACTTAAAACATTGGGTAACCGGAAACAAAAGAGTTCAAATACATTTCGACGATAATGAAAGAGTTATTCAGGGATGGAGCTTGGCAGAGATCGACACTTTGAAGAGCCACTGCGTCATGTGTGCCAAAATGTGTGTTAAATTTGCCTTACTTAGCAGTTTTTGGCTTGCTGGCCATCTTGCTAAACAATTACTAATTGAAAGCTAAATTGTTAAATAAGCAAGTGAAGCCCAAGCAGAGTGGCAAAAATCTCAAGGCCGCAACCGAAATCAGTTTAAGTGAGATTCAGATTGAGAGTGAGATTCAGCGCCATTAGAACTCCGACCAGACAAAATCAATGGGTATTATGCAAGCCCTACAGAAACTGAAAGTGTGATTCGGAATTGTTTAACTCGTTTTAATTTACAATAATATGTTAATTCTAAAGCCAAACAAATGAAGAACGTTAGTGATTCCGGTAAAAGGTTGGAGAACATTTCTCTTACCCCGAAATTAATTAGATATGTATCAAAGAAGAATTGAAATTTGTGTCGCTTTGCTCTTTTGTTTTTGGGTTTTTTTTTCAAACGAAGTTCATTGACCATTCCGTTCCCGCAGGTTTCTAGGCTCTATGACACAATTGTGGTTAATATTCGCAGCATACTCGTATAGCCACATATGGGTATATGTAAGTTCGCAGTGTTATCAATTCGATTTATGGCCAACAATACTCTACATTTTTTATGGCCTGTTTGTCTCCAGCGGCGTTCACCGTTAGCTTTTCGGCCGGCAAATATTTCCCTAATTGAAACGTGATCGGATTGCAAAATCAGGAACTCGATATGACTTATGGAAAAATTTGACAAATTGTGGTAGAATGTTCAGGTATGCCAACGCTCCTTCAACTCAAATCCTTAACGGAATCCGGAGGAACTGGCTGTGGACTCAGCGGAACTAACCGAGGTGAGTCGACTCCCAGAAGAATTATATTCTGCTCAGACAAATCACGTAGCCTGTCCCCCTGTCCAGATCTGGCGATATGTGGCGCGGGGTGGAGGGCAGTAAACTGTCACCTGTTGACATCGTCGCTCCATCTTCATCTCTTTTGGCGGTGCGATCTGATGTTTACTCATCGCGGGGCAATAAAACCGAAACCAAAATCCCAAAAAAGCAAAAAAGCAAAGAAAAGAAGCCACAGCGCCCGCTCGTAATTTCTGCGAGTACTTCGAAGCTTATCTAGTGCGCCCATCGTAATGGCAATCGTAAGCAGCCGAAGCCACGGACCAGAGTATAAAAAGCCCGGCTCTCGATTGGGCAGTCAACAGTCGCTCGCTGGATACCGCCCACACTTATCACTCCGCGACAGGATATACACCCCCTCAATATGTACAAGTTGGTCTTCCTCGTCTGCTCCGCCATGCTGCTCAGCTATGTCCTGGCCAGGCCCCAGGATCAGCGGGCCGCAGGGGTCAGTCCCACGTCGACGACCACAGCTGCCACCATTGTGAAGCAGGATAATGTGAACAACGCCGACGGCAGCTTCAACAGCAGGTGAGCTACAAAGATGATATACAGATGGGTAGTCAGGTCAGGGTGTAACTCCGATCTCTTCCAAACCATATAGCTACGAGACCTCGAACGGAATACGCGTGGAGAACATTGGCTATCTGAAAAAGATCATCGTTCCCAAGACCGAGACCTCCGATGGCCAGGTGATCGACGAGCACGAGGAACTCGTGCTGGTTCAGACCGGATCCTACAGCTACAGCGATCCCGATGGCAACCTCATCACCCTGCGCTACGTGGCCGATGAGAATGGATTCCAGCCGGAGGGTGACCATCTGCCGGTGGCCCCTCAATAGTTTTACACACATATGTCCATAGAGTCCCTGTAATATTTCGCTTGAAAGTATTATGCACTGCCTGAATGCCATACGAAATTGAAATGCCTACATTCCGTAGTTAGTCTTAAGCAAACACACACCGAAATAAATATTGGAAACGATAATGAAAACGACAACTGAACTGAACTTACTTCTCAGCCTCGCGTGGCCTATAACATTACATTACCAAATTGCCCTTCACGCTTGTGGTTAACACTGATGATCCCAAAGTGGAGATCAGATGGGTTGGGATGGTGATGCTGGTGGTCATGAGCCAACTGCCGGATTTGTTTACACTGATGGCGCAGCGATGGTAAAAGCCCCCAGATCCGAATGACATTGATGCCGATATGGATACGGCTAGGAATTGGGTATCAAGTGTTTTTGCCCAACGTAATGGGGCGTACCAGAATTCCCTACAACGCAAGTCGTTTAATTACTTAATAATGCGTATTATTAAACTGTCATTAGATGTGGATTATGCCACTTGATCAGCGGGTCATATGGGCCGATCGTGGGATCAGTTGATCGACCATTGACACACTGGAATGTTGCCAATAATCTGGTGGCTCGGAATTATAGTATGCAGTTTACTGCGTATACAACTTACAGATACGGCCAAGTTAATTCCAGTGGGTTGCTTAATCAATATGAACTAAGAATATCTCAATATATAGCATTTCTTCGCAACAGCACATGGGCTACTATATAGAAATGAAGCAAATGGATTGCGTGGGCAATCCCAACTATTTCGCCGACATGTACTGCAGGATCATACCTCCTAAAAACCGGACCATGGAGGCATCTTTGAATGTAATGCAACCGATGAGTGCCTTCAGTGGTTCACTTCGAGTGTCTATACCCAATGCCAAAAAGGTCATGACCCAGATATTTGACATCACCTTCGATGGGTGCAAGGTTCTACGGGAACGCAAGCGCAAGATCATTATCGATCTTTTGGTCAACACTTTGGCCAAGAACGGTAGTGGAAAGCTTTGGAGATGTCCTATTTCAAAGGTATTTAATTTTTTTAACACCATGTCGTCATTTGAAACCTATCCTTGCAGGGTAAATTTGAATCGAGAAACATTTCGGTTACCGATCTACCGCCAATGCTAACCGAATCGGAGTTTTTGGTGAACTTGGACTTCTTTATACCCAAGGTTGCCACTGTCATGAATGTCACCTTGCATGGACATCTTTATGAAGTTGCAAAGGAAAGACACAGGCGGAAGAAATATTTGTAACTTCTGTTGTACACTGTATTCAAATAAATATATATAATTCAAAAAGAAGAAACAAATTTATATAGTTTTTCGAAGTATAAACATATAACTTTTTTGGAATTTTCCGCTCATTTTATTTACATTTTACAATTTAACAGCTTTGTTACACGGCTTTGGATTTTATTTGCTGCATACTTCGTGGCAGTAAGTTTTTAACAATGATTGCGCAAGAAAATATTTGGCCTTAAATTAAGCTTATAGTATATACTTTTTCATTTAGTTAACCATAAACATAGCAAAGTCAATCTTTAAAATTAATTGTTTCGGTCAATTGGAAGTTTAAATTATCCAGATAGCCTATTATGTTTTGCACTTGTAATTGCTCCAATTTCAATATAATATCTATCAGTAAACGGCACCATTTAGTTTGCCACCGACTGTCGACAGTGATGTTCTACCTAGGGCTGAGATACTTACGGATGATTTTGATACTCATCCAGGTGTTCCATTATAACGAAGCCAAGGTTAAGCACATTTATTACCAAATAAATGTAGTATTAAAATAAGTAAACAAACCACAGCATTTTAAGAGGCGTTTACGATGGGATTGCTTCGACTGTCAGATGGGACCTCAGTACACTGATCGGATGACATGCCAAATTGGAGGCACACGGCGTACCCTGTTGAATGTGGAGTTAAAATTGTTGACGGAACTCGATCAAATTAAGGTTTACATCAAGATATCAACGAGATTCAAGTCATCAACTTCGTATCGGAAATTCTTCGACATTACCTTCGATGGGTGTCGTGTTATTTCCGATATGGATCATGGAACCATGGCATCGAACGTGTTTAATGCAGTCGTCAAGTCAAGCAATCAACCACGAAAGTGTCCGATCAAAGAGGTTATATACTTGATTTTGTATTTTATTTGAAGTTCTAATGTTCTAATGTTAACATTACAGGGTTCCATTTACTATCATAATATAAGTGTCGAAGACGCCTTACCTATGTTTGTGCCTTCCGCCCAGTTGTTTATTCAACTTGATTTTTACTCCCGCCGTCAGTTGTACTTGAACGTAAGCCTGAGAGGAGAAATTATTGAGTAACAAATATATTGACACAAAATTTGTTCCGTTTAAATGATTTATAAATACCTGAAAAATAAGTATATATTAAATATTTATATTATATATAGACCACTTAAACGAACATTCAGCGTCCGTAAACGAAGACATTAACGCTTAAATTTAGAACTATGAGCTTGATTGCGATACAAAAACCCACTTAAAATGTAATCACGAAAAATAGCAATTATTGGTGTATAATATTGAAAACCATTATCCGCGAATATTTTCACTTATTGTCCGTGGCTGGGCATTTAAAACAGACAGTAGTAATTGATCAGAGCTGCAATTACAACATCATGGCTCAATTTCAATTGATGGTTCTGCTCATTTTCTTGGCTAGCCAAAGCGAATCAGCCAAGGTTTTTAAATGGTTATAATATTCAGATTACATCTTCTGATTAACTATTATTTAGACATCTACAAAGGCCCACCTAAAGCTGATATGGAAAACTTTCAAATGCTTCTCTAATACGGATTACATTTCCGAACACAAGTGCATCATTGTAGAGCCTGAAAAGTCCCTGATCACCGCTGAGCTGCAATACATCAAGGATGTTCCCAAATATAATGCCACTTTTAAGCTGTTCATGCCTCGTAAGCCTTCCCGCAGTTTTCAGAAAGTAATTGATGTGAATGTGGACGTATGCCAGTTTGCCAAAGGAATTCATGGTCACAGATTCATGACAATTGTCGTTAAAGCCTTCGGAAAGCAGGGATCTCAGCTGAAGTGTCCGCATCCCAAGGTAATTCTGACGTTTAATAATAAAAGCCTTTCTAATACGGTTTTCCAGGGTTTTTACGTGTACCCAAACATCAATATTGCCGAAAATTTACCAGCCTTCTTGCCAGAGACCGATTTTAAAATCGAAATGAACTTTCTGACATCCGAATCGCACATCATCAATACCAGTCTTACCGGAGTCCTGATTGATCCCATCAAAAGGAAAGCAAAGGCTACATAACTAACTAAAGTGAATAAAATTTGGGTTTTCAGCGGCTTTAATCAAGATAGAATGAGTCTTTACGGCAATTTGTACCGCTTAAGAATTAAACAAGTGCTTTATGGCCAGGCCACTTGTCAACCCAGCGGTACGTGATCTTTATGTCAAGCTAAGTTCCGCTGACGATTACCTCAAAATCGCCAGTAGAGCATTATTTACGAGTCAAGCTCAAGATTGGCCGCATCGACAAGGCATTTCATTTCACAACCGACACGGCAGCAGCCTGAATATTTATGGCCAGCAACGTGGTTCTGTTAGCCAAGTTGGCTTTCTGCGATAAAGCCAAATCCGAACGGAATGGAGCGGAACCCAAATGTCAAATGTTGTTCATAAGAACAGCAGCAGCATCAGTCGCATCGGCGCAGCTCGACAAATGCTAAGAATGTAAGGGTGAAATCGTTTGACATTTGCAGATGCTGCAATTTCCCCGTGCCGGCAGCAACAGGTCAGTGTGTGAGTGGGCCACAGTTGGTAGTGGGGATGGTTCGCCTGCTCGGTGGACCTGCGCGTCTGTGGTGGTGCACTCGAAAGCTAACCTTGCCCAGCTTTCGTTTTTTATTTTCATTTTCGCCCGTGCGTGGAACTGCAACTCCAAGAGTTGCACAACCTGCAATGAATCACCAGCCAGAGCAGCAACATCACCACACAAGGCAGCAACATTGCGAACCGGGGGATTGGCGGGCGTTTGACTTGCAGTCGTGGGTGCGGAAGACGAAGAGTTGGCCAAAGCACGATGGCCCAGAGGGAGGAGAAGTCGTTTGTCGCAATAGGCGTTGGAGGCGTTTGGCAGCATTTCGGGTTTTATTGCCGGCACTTCGTCGGTTGTTGCACTCGCTGGATATTGTCCCTTGCCAGTTGAACCTCCTCTATGATCGATTTTGTCTTTTTTTTTACAACAACTGATGTTTGTTTATTTGTTCTCTTTGGCCGAAAACGCGCTGGAGATTAACCCAATTGTTTGGCAACTAATTAACATTTGCCAAGACACGGGCCCGCTTTGAACTCAATTATCGTCTTGCCTCATCTGCCAGGCACTTTGGCTGTTACAACAATTCGCGCTTCGCTGGTGTTGGTATTGGATCCGGCAAACTGCCGCAATTACAAGAATGCGAATCCGAATCTGAGTCCGAGTGCGAATCTGAAAATGAATCCGAAGCCGAAGCCGTGAGGGAGCAGCATCTTGGATGCACTTCAAATGCACTTCAGTCGCGTGAGAGAGGGAGAGAGCCGACTGTCGCTTTTGGCCAAGTCAACAACGAAAGCAAAGCAAAAAAAAAAACTCGTTCTGGCTTGTTTCTAAATAACGGCATTGCGAAGATGAACGACCGGACGCGCTGGCGGGGGACGGACATTTCGCAGACATTTGAGCCGGGCCTACGAGCGGGCCAAATACGAACAGCGACAATAAGCCGGGCTAAGGTGGGTGCCGGTAATAGAGGGGCTCAAAAAGTCATTACATATGTAATATATAAGATATCTATTTTTAGTATAAAATGTTTCAAAAACATTTCATAAGTATTTTTTGTGTTAAAACAAAAGACTTAGGAAACGAACTTGGTGATTCATTAAAATATCCTAAGATTAGGGACTCTCAGTCAAGAACAGAAATGATCAATATTTAATATTGATATTGTTTTACGATAAATAATAATGTGCGCAATTATTATCATTTTTTTAGAAAATTATACAGGACTTAGGAAACGATCCTTAAGAGGTAAGGACCAAATTTGGCGGCCGTAACAAATACAACAAAAAACAAGTAATCAAATGTTACAAAAAGGTAATACAAAGTATAAAACTTCAACATTTATTGTAGAAGAAAACTTCTGAAATAATACCATTATCTTATATTTTATCATAGTTCTGGAATTCCTTCTAAATTCATACTGACTCAGCCTCTGAAACAGCCTCAAACGAGAGCGACAGTGAATTGTTTTTTTTTTTTACGATTTTAGCATTTAAGCGTCGACGAGCCTACAAACAACAATTACCGATCGGTCGGATCAGACAGCTAAAAAAAAGTAAGAGCTTCTATGGCGAATTCCACTTCCACTCCCATCGCCATCTTCACCTGCAACTGCATCTCCAGCTGCAACTCCATCTCCATTAGAAACTCCATCTCTATCAGAAATAGCAAATGCACGCTCTCTCATGGAGGCTCATCTGTGTGGGTATGGACACGAGTGCAACAGGAGGATCGGATCGGGTCGGAGCAGAGCGAATCGCCTATATAAGACACAAATAGGGCCGCGCTTGGCACAGTGTCTAACGGAGCTGCTTTCACTAGCCAGTGCGATCAGTGCCAGCCAAACGGGCGACAAAGCGGGCCAAATCAGTGGAATACAGTGGATAAGCGGCAGAGACTCCTTGCGAAATGAAAGTGCTCGTAAGTGGTTAACATAACAAATAATTCAAGCCCTGTGGATTTTCAAATTCGGTCAAGTGATTCCAGAATATTTATTATTCTTTTTTATTTATTTCATAATTATGAAATATAATAGTTACATCATATCAAAAGGATGTTAAGAAAATTCCTTTCGAAGTCTTTAATGAAACTTTTTAACTTTGTGATTGTTTTGTTTGAAAGTATGTTATGTTAAATTGTGCTTAATAATATATTAGGGAATGGATTTTGTTGTAATTAAATTATATACATGTGATTGTAAGCTTCAGCTGAACTTATCCTTTCAGATACTTCTCGTGCTGTTGGCAATTTCCTGCCAAGGACAACACCACCATCAGCACCAAAATGTGAACAACATACCACGCGATGACAAACCAGATCACCATCGCCATGAAGATCTCAGAGAGACCAGCACCTGGATACCCATAATCAAGTACAATAAGGAGCAGAGTGACGATGGAAGCTACAAGACAGAATACGAGACGGGCAATAGCATCATTCATGAGGAAACCGGTTTCCTCAAGGACTTCGACACTAATCCAAATGGAGTGTTGGTTCAGCATGGCCAGTACTCCTACCAATCCCCGGAGGGAACTCTCGTGAATGTGCAGTACACGGCCGACGAGAATGGATTCAGGGCCACTGGCGATCACATTCCTACTCCGCCGGCCATTCCCGAGGAGATACAGAAGGGATTGGACCAGATCTACGCCGGCATTAAGCTGCAGCAGGAGCGTCTGGAGCAGAGGGCTAAGACAGATCCAGACTTTGCGAGGAAACTGGAAGAACGACGAGTGGCCAACCAGAATGGGCAGTACATCGGCCTGCTGGAGAACCAATAGAACCAATAGCTCCGTCCATTCCATTCCCCCACCGAACCGATGATCCTGGAAACGTGACTCCTTCGCATTCTATACCAACAACAACAAGACTGTGATTTCACTCTGCAAGCTCTTCCAAATCGCATTACCACTCTGAATGATATTCGTTTAATAACTCTTCAATTTCCCATTAAGTACCATAAAACCAACAGACAGGGGCGCTCAATCAATTTAATAATATTTTATTAACGAGTGTGAAAGTTTCGCTGCTTTGAAACAATAAAAGAAAACTAACGTTTCCATTATGCCGAACCGACTTGATGATGGATTTACCATATTTTCTAGCATTATTTTTCCCGTTTTACAGCTGACCATATCCACGATGTTCAGACAAACGTGACAAAGCGTTTATGGGTCCTCATTATTTTCTCGAAGTGTTTCCCCATTTACTGTGCATCTTTCGTTGCTTTATTGTTTACTTCGCAGATCGAATTACGTTAGTTTGTTGATCCCATTCCATGCAGGTTGGGTTTTCAATTTTCCATATTTTTACATCGCCGCCATGGAAATTTTCTTTCGAGAGGAGTCTCTCGACTGGTTGCCAGTTACATAATTACGACAGATTTTCCAGTGCCATTCGACTTGTTTTCGGGGGCAGGGCGTGCATGTGGGAAGGCTGAGGAAGCCAGTTGAAGTGGTCCACGAATGGGTTACTGGCGTAGCTCCGATTCCCGCCGCGAAACCTCTTCGTTCTGCCAATTATAAACGTAGGCTACCTTTACCGTTTGGCATTTTGAAAAGAGTAGCCCTTAGCTACGCAAATATAGAAACCAAAAACCACTGTCATCAGGTTGAAAGAACAGACAACCAAATAACCTTTTGGGCCACAAAACGGCAAACGATTTGGCCACCTATTTGCATAAAACGTAAACACACTGACTACACTATGCGGTTGTTTCTAGCTGAAGATAAATCAAATCCGCTGCATTTTCACCACCGCCGTAGAAACAGACCCCAAAAGCGGGGCCCCGAAGAATGTTTATTCGCCATTAAGTTTCAACGCTCTTGCGCATAATTAAAACGAAAAAAACCATATAATAACGAAGCCGAACAAAGGAAAATTTCTATGGCCCGTGATTAGAAAGAATCTTTCTTGTGGGCTTGCGCGGCGCTGGAATTGATTTGGCCAACTCAGTTGCCGTTTAGAAGCCGTCGCGTGCAGATCGCAAATAGCCAGCAAAAGAGATACCTTCCCTACAATATCTATAAGAAAGCTGAAGATCGAATTCGCAAGAGCGTTAAACCGAAAACTGGTAGCGGTAGTACCAATATTTGTTTGTGGGGAGTAAAAAGAAATGGGGAAGTGAAGTGGTTGATCGTGAAGTGAAGATGTGAAGAGCTATAGATGTGAATATTTCATAGACATCGGAGCTCCGTCAAAGAAAAAGCAGCAGAAACCAAAAATCAAACAATAGATTGTTTTTGTCGCTGCTGAAAACGAGAATGAATCAATAAACCTATAAAAACTAACTGTAAACTTGAAAAGTGGCACAGCATCTGCAAAAAAAAAGTAAATCAACAAAACAGATAGACGTTTTCAATTTAAATATGATTAGTCATTGGAAAGGGTGTCTACTGTGGTTGCTGATAGCCCTCAGTGGCTGCCAGCTAATTGCCCCCCAGCAGCTGCAGGGTCCTCCTCGTCCCAGGGGGCGTATACGTATTGCGGATATGCAAAATCCCGCCTCAGTCGGCGGGGCACCTGTTCCGGCCTTGGGAAACTGGCCAAATGTGCCGGCTGAAGGTCCCATCAGCTCCACTGTGCACACCCACATTCCACTGTGGCGCGAGGAGAGCTCCCCCCTGCCGGCCACGCTCAGTCAGGAGGCGGTGGTGTACGGCAACTGGAAGCCAGAGCATCCGGAGAAGCCCGAGAAGGTGGACACGAAAAACGAGTCGGATCCGCAGCCCAGGGAGCGGGTCTACGGACGCTTGGAAGCCATGCTCATGGGATTGCCGGCAGATGGTAATATTTCAGCTATAAATATGAATTTCCTGTTAATATTATTATCATTTAAAGCATGCAAACACTCGTGCAAGAAGTTAATAAAACTATAAAGCCTTAGATATACTATATTATAAATTTTGTAAAAATAGATTGAAATTCACATTATTTGAAAATTACGTGCCTTTGAAGTCTGCTTGGTAGTTTATTTAAAAGCTTAATAACATTTTCAATTTACTGAATTATTAAAATATATATTGTTATGATAATGACATATTGAATGATATTAATGATATTTAAGGCTAGACATTTTTTTAATAAGATCTTCATGTTGTGTTAAATTTAGTCTCTGTTGCTCTGAAATTCTTTGCTTATATCTAAAATACTTATATCCCCCAGCTATTGATGCCAAGCCCTCAAGTTCCAGCGAAGAGCAACCCGCTCCTATTCCGCCTGGTAGATATCAGAATCCTGCCTATTCCCGACCAGTCAGCCGTGAAAGTTCGGCAGAGAAATATGGTCGCCGACGCATCAGTACTCAGCAGGCGCCACAACAATTCGAGTTGGCCAAGGTTAACGATTCGGAACCAATATTGAAGGCAATTTCTAAGCAGTTCAACGAGACCGTGGAGACGACGACTACGGACAATCGAAGTAATTCCAAGAATTCCGCGAACGATAACTGGTTGCCCCTGCCGTATCCCTATCCCTACGATACCACAATGCCTGCTCCACCTGCAACGAGCTCTATGGTTCCAGGATTTATGCAATCCTCGGTGGTGCATCCACCGGCCCCCACACAGGCCACTCGCTCAACTGCGGGTCTACTGAATTGGCCCACTGATTTCATCGACAGCACCTCCCTTACGGCGAGCACCGAAAAGATAGATGGGAACCTGCAGGGGAGCATTGACCGGCGCGATGAGAGCGTCTCTGATCCGGCGGACGAGTACAAGTACTTCGAGGACTCTCTGAACTCCGCCCAGATGCACAGCGAACTGAGTGTTCCAGAGACCATGCCGCTGAACATTACCCGGGTGGGCATCCCGTACGAAGATCGAAATGCCTCTGAGGAGCCGACCATATGTGTGCCTCTCACCGTCTCGGAAACTTCGCTTTCCTCCGACAGCATTGTGCCCCAGGTGGTGGAGGTCGAAAGGGTTTACTGCTTTCCCCTTCCGAAGGTGGAGATACGTCCTGGTCATGCCCGTCCGCAGGTGGAACAGGTGACGAGGGAGCAGGAGATACCAGAAGCAGAAATGGATATGCAGCCAACGGAACCGACTATACCGAGTGATTCCGGCACCGCATCCGGATCCCCGCGTAGATCCCTTGACTCACTCGCGGTGCTCCTCGTCATAGCTTGCAGCTTTTGGCCACAAATTAGTATTTAGATTTAGTATCACTTGACCTTAACACAACTCAGGGGCTATTCGCTAATTACACTTATTTAAAAATTAAACCTAAGCCTACACATAAAATTCAAGAAAAGGTGTTATTGTATTTTGGGTGAAATTAGACGAGTCACGTACTCGTCTTTGTTATGTAGTAACAACATTCTTCAAATGTTTCGACGTTTATACGGAAACGGTTAGATTAACTCGGTGGCTCTACTGTTCACATATATCAATGAATTTAGAATAACTTTTTATTCAACGAGTAAAGAGTATAATTTAAGCGTAAAGTTAATGTGCATTAAAATATTACGATTAGTCGATTACTTGAAGTCGTAAACAAAAACTGATAACGACCTGCACATCCTTATCTGTATGGATTTTATGATTAGCAATTTCATTCACAAAAAAACACTGTTAGTTATAAAATGGAGTAACACTTTAGTGTTGGAGTTTGATAAGAAACTCATTGCGCGATGCCTTTCGTTAAGTTTTTCCATTGGCATTGCTCGGCAGTATCTCAGTAAACTGGACCCCCCAGAGTATAGCTGGTGTAATGGACGTTTATGAGGCTAAGGAGGCTATGGCCTCTGGCTTGGCATCAGAACCACCTGTCGAGACAGAAATATATATGGACGGCAGTACTGCAACGTTGATCTTACACCTTTTCACCATTGCACAAAATACTCTGGGGTGAAGGTAAGGTGTTGGTAACGATGCGAGTGACGGCCACAGCTGTATTGAATCAAAAGTCTATAAGGACGGTCATTCAGACCAGGCAACTGGGTGTAAAGATAACCATTTCACTGCTGGCCACCCTGGAAAAAAGTATGTATGTTTGTTTGTTTTATGCAGGTTATGCAGGTTTAACTACATAATTGTGTATTTAATTCCGAACTCATATGGCGTTATTGAAGGGGTTACCTTTAGCACTGGGTACAGCCCTGGGCAAGCCAGTAGTTTCCGATGAGCACATAATTGCCACATAATTGCTACTCTAATTGAATCTAATCGAATGCTCATCGTGCTTACTACTCTAATCAGTCAAGCAGACAGAATAGTTCGAAGCAATCTAAAACTTATCTTATTAATTACTATCAATATTAATTGATTATATAATTAATACTAATACTTATTGATTAATATTGGGAGTGCAGATTTATGTAACTAATAGTTTATTAGAAGCATCTTAAATTACTACAGCAAACAAAAACGCTTTAACTCAAGGCTATTTAATGTACTACATATATGAGATAAAAACATAATTATTCAACTTCAATATGCTGTTCATATTAGGCAAATTGTTATCTTAGTCATGCTTCATACCCAAAAAATCAATAGTTTTATCCCAACATATTATTTGTCGATGAATCACGCTTATTCAGTAGTAAATTGAATATAATTGAATATATCACTACGAATTCTATCTTATCTAATCAGTCAAGCGTCAGAATAATTGAAGCAAACAAAAAACCATACGTGTCCCTCTCTTAATTTTTTGATGTACATATGTACGATGTTGTAGAAATTCAAAAATATTAAAAAATGTCCCAAGAGTGAAGTTCTATATCCCATAACTCAACTCATATTAATCGGATTTTGAAGAGGCATACCTCTAAGTGTTTCTGGAGCAATTCTCTAAAAATCTGCATTTAAATATAAAAATTAATTTTTTTTTTAATTTTTTGTATATTTTTTTGATAATTTCATACGAGTATGCCATGCCCAGCAAAACCCTCGCAAACATTAGCTTCAAACAGGAATGTGGGTTGATAAGCATTGTAAAGCTCGATTTAATAGTGTTGAAAGGAAGCTCAAGAAAACACGTTCACGTTGTACAATATCGCACTAAGCACTATATCGTTTAATTTCTTACAGTCTAATTTTTTACCATTTTTAGCAGTTTCTAAATTTAAAACAGTGAGCTTAACGCACTTATTGAACACAAATATATTCCTTCCGTCGCACAAGCCATTACATTTTATTTATTTTTGTATGTATTATTTAGTTTAAGTATTTTTTTAAGTATTGTTTAGTTTTTCAACACCCTATTATTGTGCAAATTACTTGAAATGGTTAAAAGTGAAAACTTTTCTTGCCTATTAAAATTAGTTGGTTTGCAGAGATTGTTCATTATACCCGTTACTCGTAGAGTAAAAGGGCAAAAAAAACCTTTTGCCACGCACACTCCAGCCCACAAGCGGCCACATTTTCTTATTTTTTTTTAAATATTATTATTTTTTCTCAATTTCTATAAACATGGCAGGAAAATTATGAAATTTTCATTCCACTAGCTGAGTAACGGGTAATCGGGGGGATAATCGGGGAACTCGATTTGAAATTCTAGCCAAATATAATATTTAACATACCGAGTATGATAAACATTCAAAACTCGAATATTTTGTACAGCTAAATTCTCACTGTTCACTTTTACAAAGCCTGAGAATTCTCACGAATAAAAAACAGAAAAATATATAAATATATATATATTTACCAGGTGTTTTATTGAACTCTTATTTGCTTGAACCCTTTCTCGCAACGAATTCCTCTCGCGCCAACTTACGAACTGTCTTTCCATTTGGATTGGCTGGTAGTTTATCCGTAAACTGCACGCCAGCATGCAGCTGCTTTTGAATGGAGGGAAGCCTTTTGGCCACATGATCAGCAATCTCCTTGGCGGTAATTGAGGAACCATTACGCTTCACCACCAGTGCACCAGCAGCATCCCCCTGCTGCTCATCGTATACGCTGATGACGCACACTTCCTCCACCTGGGGCAATTCTGAGATGACGCCCTCGATCTCAGAGGGCCAGTAGTGGTTTCCCATGTACTTGAGGATCTCCTTCTTGCGGTCCACCACATGGAGCTGGTTCTGGTCATCAAAGTAGCCTAGATCGCCGGTATGAACCCATCCTTCGAGGTCCTGAGTTCGTTGAGTCTCCACGGGGTTACCAAAGTATCCTTTCCAGGGAAGGCCTGTGTGCACATAGATCTCGCCCTGCTCGTTGTAACCTAGGTTGCTGCCATTATCGTCTACGATCCGAATCTTAACGCCCGGAAATGGTTTGCCTGCACTGTTGACGTTTCCAAGTCCTATATTAATAGATATTCCCCCCACCTCAGTCATTCCGTATCCTGAACACAAGATCGCATTTGGACAGAGCTCTTGCATTTTCTTCAATGTGGTTATAGAGGTAAATCCGCCTAAATGGGTCATGCTGCGAATGGAGGCCAATGCTTCTTGTGTCGCCCCGGGAAATGCGATCAGGGTACTCATATGGCAAGGAAGCAACATAACTGTGCTGATCCTGTACTTCTGAACAAGCTTTACAAAGTAGTCCGGTGAAAATGGTTTGTTAGTTAGAATCCGGGTGCAGCCCATCACAGTGCTCAAGAGGAATAGGCTTAGGCCACTGTACCAATCCAGACCACTGGCAGAAAATACGACCAATTCGCTGTTCACCATACTGTCAGAGAAATAGGCAATAAAGGAACGTTATAAAATAATGTATCCCAAATTCTCACTAGTAATCCGCGAAGAGAGCTCTGTTGGAAATGCAGACAGCCTTGGGTAAGCCAGTGTTTCCCGACGAACAGAGGATGGCCACAGTCTGTTCACCTCCTTCCTGCAGAGGCTCTGGCCTATGATAGACATTATTAGTTTCCCATTTGTGGATATATCACATTGAGCACTCACTGGTAAAACATTTCTGTGGCAGTTGGCTCCAGAAGGGTATCGACATGGGGCACTCCTTCAACGGAGTCAGTAACCGTGAAAATTGTTGGTTTCCATCCTTTAGTCGCAGCACAGAGTTTCTCGTAGTCCTGTCCATCACAGAATATAATAGTTGGTTTCGTTATCGAGAAAATGTGTGTCAAGGTGGCTGAAATCAGGAAGATTTATATGGTTTGTAAATCCAATGCCCTTTCATCACTAACCTTCGTCCGACACGGGACTAGCCGCGTGGAAAGGGGTTCCATTTAAAAGACAGGCCAATGCTACAGGAGCTACGTATGTGGAGTTCCTGGCCACAATGCCAATTATATCTGGATACTTTAGTCCTTTTTTCTTGAGGATCTGGGCAATCCGAATGGCCCAAGTAATTGCCTGCTCAAACGTCATTTCCACGCCATCCACATCGTTTATCTGTTCAGGAGATGGGCAGCGTTATTATGGGCAATTGCTTCTTCGCTTTGTATCGATTGGACTCACCTGACAAACGTTTTTGGGCCAGTTCCTCATCCCTTTGAAAATTACACTACCAATTGATGTCTCATCGGTGTAGGTGGTAACCCGCTTGTCTCCACTCCAGATGCGGTCCTTCGCATCGTAAGTTGTTGTAAATCCTTGCATTGTTGTGGCGTTCCTTTCCAGCCGAATACAAAAGTACTTCTGTGAGTCGCAGGTAGCAGAGACTGTATTTATAGCGGACAAGAACTTGAAAAACTGCCAGTAATGGATGACCTGTATCAACTGCCCAAGTGCCTTATCTCACCTTATCTCAACCCGCTCGGTACATCATCGTACGAGTCCAAGAGGGAAATATCAAACTATTTGTGTCTGATAAGATGGTGTTTACATGTAAATCATTGAAATATTTATCTAACAATACCAAAAACAGCAGCACTTCTGTAACAAAAAGTATATTAAAGTCTTTTAATACGAATATATGAGAATATAATTGTGTCACAAATTATTAATAAGCTGTCAAATTATATTATTATTGATAAAAGTAAACAGTACGCTAACTCTTATTCAGCATTTATTTTTATCTTATCAATCTTTATAAAAGAATTAATGGGAATGGGAAATCTACACATTATCTCAACAAGCTTCAGTGTAATCCAAGTTAATTGGATTTCTTAAAGTAATTTTCACCTTACGAATGCCCCCAGATAAGACTAGAACTTAATCCATTCATTCAGCATGACGTATGCTAAAGACGCGCATATGAATCGTATTTCTATTCTACCTTATCAACTTTTGACTATTTTTGATTATATTTGTGCACCAAAAATAAGTCTCGTGACTATGCGTATCACGGTCAACACACCACAGACCATTCTTTTAGGAATCCAACTCTCTCCACCGTCTCCGAGGAAACAAAAATAAAATGGGGATCACAAGCATTCGCAGGTACTATACAATTTATTGGGTTCCAAAGGTCACCTCTTTGCCGAGAGCCCTTCTCAGCCAGGGTGCTTGAGTCGTTTCTGCTCTTAAGTGTCTCAAGTATCTCCCAGCACTTGTGATTAAAACTATACTCAATCGCGTGGATCACTTGTATCTCACTTTCCAGATACGCGCAGGGCGACAAACACGTCGCGTGCCGTCTTTCGCATGGTCTTGCCATTGACATTGGCGGGCAGTTTGTCGGTGAACTGGACTCCTGCTCTCAGCTGCTTCTGGGTGGCGGGCAATCGCTTGGCCACGTGGTCCGCGATCTCCTTGGCCGAAATGGTGGCTCCCTTGCTCCTGACGATCAGTGCACCGGCTGCATCACCCTCCCGCTCGTCGTAGACTCCCACCACACACACATCCTGCACCTGGGACAGCTCCGCGATAACAGTCTCGATCTCCGTGGGCCAGTAGTGGAGGCCATTGTACTTGAGGATCTCCTTCTTGCGGTCCACTATGTACAGGAAGTTCTGCTCATCGAAGTAGCCCAGATCGCCGGTATGGAACCAACCCTCGAAGTCCTGCATGCGCCGCGTCTCCACTGGATTGCCGTAGTACCCGTTCCAGGCCTGGCCCGTGTGCACATAGATCTCTCCCACCTGGTTGTAGCCCAAGCTCTTGCCATCCTCGCCCACGATGCGAATCTTAATTCCCGGCACAGGTCTGCCCGCCGAGGAGACGTTGCTGATTCCGATATTGATCGTAATGGCGCCCACCTCTGTCATCCCGTATCCCGAGTTAAGCATGGCTGACTTGCAGAGTTCCTGCGATCGCTGCAAAGTGGCCGACGATATCGAACCTCCGCCGTAGTTGAGGTGCGTGATGGAAGCCAGAGCATCCGACTTCGCATCCGGACTGGTGTTCAGAGCGGATAGATGACGCGGCGGCAGCACAGCATAGTTGATCTTGTACTTCTTCACCAGCCCCACAAAGTACTCCGGAGTGAAAGCTTTGTTGCTGATAATACGTGTGCAACCGAATACGGTGCTGAACACAAAAGCCCACAAACCCGTGATCCAGTCCAGACAGCTTCCTACATAGATAACCGACTGACTGGTGATCAACCTGATAAGATATACAGACCTTAAGTGGTATAATCGGTGCATTATGAAGTTGGACTCACATGCTGTCCTGGATTAGAATGCTGTTTGAAATGCAGACTGCCTTGGGCAAGCCAGTGGTTCCAGAGGAGCAGAGGATGGCTACGGTTTGATCACCTCCTTCCTTCAACACTTCCGGTCTACGAGGAAACCCGATGCGTTGTTAAAGGTATAAGGTTTCGACCCTTCTCGTACTCACTGATAGAACTTTTCTGTAGTGGTGGGATCCAGCAAGGTCTCGATGCCCTGGACTCCTTCAACATGATCCGTGAGGGTAAAGATTTCCGGATGCCATCCTACCGTAGCCTTATGAACTTTATCGTACTCGTGTCCATCACAAAATATCAGTGTGGGCTTTGTGATCGAAAACATATGCAACAAGGTTGCTAAAAAAAATTAATTTATTACATTTTAATACAGTTTTCCTTAGACTATACTTACCATCATCTAGCACCGGATTAACAGAATGGAATGGGGTGCCATTCATTAAACAGGCCACTCCAAGGGGCATCACATAGGTTGAGTTTTTCGCCGCAATTCCAATGACATCCTTGTGGTTGAGACCCCTCTTCTTAAGATACTGCGCAATCCGGATGGCCCAGGTAAGACCCTGTTCGAAGGTTACAGTCACTCCATCTACATCACATATCTGGAGGGGAAGTTTATGTTGATATATCCATCTTATATAGGGAATTATTTCCGGACAGACTCACCTGGCACACATTCTGGGGCCAGTTCCTCATGTTATTGAAGATGATCTTGCCCACGGAGGTGTCATAGTTGTAGATGGAGTTGCGCTTGGCTCCGCTCCACACATTATCCTTTTCATTGTAGGTGGTGGGTATCATAGCCATGTTGTTGTTTCCTCGAATAACTTGCTAGCCGTTAGAAAATGCAGTAGACTGTGGTGAACGCAGGTGAGTGCAGTTTTATTTATAAGGAGCCAGAACATCGGGATTCCAGTCTTGATAGACACCTTGAGTGGATCCACTGCAAGTGGCTAACACCTGTACCATCTTATCTGTGCCTGCTGAAGATAGTGCACCAATAGATTTCGCCCCTGGCCATGACTATTTTATACCCTGCTCCAAAGTCTTTAGAAACACCATATCTTCAATCTAAATGCATTAATCCGATGCATTGCTTTGATAGCCTACCAGTAGACTAAAACCACCTTTCAAACTGATATTCCCGCTAATACCACATACTTAATCCACTTAACTGCATTTATAGGGAATTAGGGAATACTTAAAAGAGTAAATATGTAAGTGGAATTCAGAATGTTACCTATCTAATCATTCTTGTTCAATGCTAAATCGAAGCAAGTGAGAATCCCAAGTTACCACTAAAAAAACAAATATATATGTATGTTTTAATAGGAATAATCTGCTGAACTAAAGCACCTGACTGGTATCTGTGATATAAATCACGCAAACTAAACAATAGTGCAGGAAGTGCCACAGTAACTCGATCAGTGCCAGTTTCTATTACCCATCAGATTTAAAACATTATATATAAGAACATTTACGGGTTGTTAATCCTTTTGATACCTCGCATTCCTGATTAGAAGCTTACGTAGCCTACGTATTGTTATTGTCGTTCAGGGTTCATTGTTAAATCGGCGGGAAGTCATATATGTTAATTTTTTATTATAATTAGTGAATATATATTTTTAAAGTATTCCACAATATTATTGCTCTGTAGAATTTAAGTTTCTTCTAGATTTTATACATTTGAATGTTTTTCAATAAACCGTTTTAAAATCAGGTTTAATATATTAATTTCTTATTATTTCTTCTTATCGTATTAGCAAATTATATATTTGCAATTTCAAATTTAAATATGCGCTAGTTCCAAATCATCTGGCAGCTCTTGGAACCTTCTGGCATCCGTGTGAACAGCTGTCAGATCAGCTGTTCTTACTGCCAGCCCTGGTTTGGGAAAATTTCACGGCCAACAACCGAAATTCGCGGTCAAAATTCGCGGAAGTGAGGTCTCTAGTTTTATGTAATGTTTAGGTGACGCGGAATTAACTCCCAGTACAACGCTAATTGTCCCACTTTGCCATGTTTACCTACCACCTTGGGCTTGTGGTCCGCTGCGCGCGGCAGAAGCCGATGTTCCTGTGGGCGCCCGTCTGCCACATGAGTGGTCTCAGTCCGCTAAAGGAATACGAGAAGCGTGTTAGTTCTGGCCAACTGATGACCGACGACAGGCAGCTGCAGACGATGAAGGAGCTGGATGCACTGTACCACAAGATTCAGGGGTACAAACCCAGCTACAGGTCGGGCGGTGGTGGAGGCGGAGGATTCTTCAGCTCCATCTTCGGTAGGAAATCCTCCTCCGAAGACGACGATCAGGATGATCCTAACGCTGGCAGTCACTCTCCCCAGGGTCTGTACCTGTACGGCAGCGTGGGAGTGGGCAAGACCACTCTGATGGACCTGTTTTTCGATTGCTGCACCCAGGTAAGTGCTAAATGAAATAACATCCACAACTCCTAACACCATTGTGACTTTTAGATCGATCGCAAGCAGCGCGTCCATTTCACTTCGTTCATGAACAGCGTGCACACCCGCATCCACGAGGCCAAGCAGAAACAGGGACCCGTTGACCGGGCCTTTAACTCTGAGAAGCCAGCACCCTTTGATCCCACAAGGCCTGTTGCCGACTTGATCGCCAGCGAGTCCTGGTTGATTTGCTTCGATGAGTTCCAAGTGACGGACATAGCTGACGCCATGGTGCTAAAGCGATTGTTTACACACCTTTTCCGGCATGGCATTGTGGTTGTGGCCACCAGCAATCGGCATCCCGAGGATCTGTACAAGAACGGACTGCAGCGCACGAACTTTCTGCCCTTCATTGCATTGCTTCAGCGTCGCTGTAAGGTGTCCCAATTGGATTCCATTGACTACCGACGGATAGCCCAGTCTGGAGACACCAACTACTTCGTCAAAGGCCAAACGGATGCGGATGGGAGTATGAATCGCATGTTTAAGATCCTGTGCGCCGAGGAAAACGATATTATCCGGCCGCGGACCCTGACTCATTTCGGACGAGATCTGACCTTCAATCGCACGTGCGGCCAGGTACTGGACAGCACCTTCTCGGAACTATGTGATCGCGTAAGCAAGGCATTATAATT